AATTCTTCAATTTTGTCTCTTAGCGCCGTACACTCCTCGGTAGTGTGACCCCTGTTCTGATGGTACCGGCAAGACTTGCTTTTATCTGCCCGAGGAGGAGTGTTAGCACGTCTAGGCATTCTCAATATTTCTGTGGCCAACGCTTGATCAAGTATTCTGGACTGATTAGAGTTGAGCGTCGTGTAGGAGGGATACTTCGGTCCTCGAGGTGGTCGTTCGAGTTCCTTTCCTCTGTCGTTCCCCTGCCTTGTTTTAAAGGTCTCCCTTCTTTCTTCATTTTTTGAGTTAGGTCCTTGTTCCATCCGTACCTGGCTCCGGTATCCGGATAGTTCTTCCATTTGCATATATTTCGCAGCCCGGCTACTTAACTCATCTAGGTCGATTGGGGGTTTTTTGCAGAGGCTATTAACGAAGGGTCCCGGTTTCAACGCTGTTGTTAGATGGTGCATAGCCACTGCTGGTTCCAAATTATGAATTGAAAGAGTCACTTTGCCAAAGCATTCCATGAACGCTCTAAGTGATTCACCTTTCTCTTGGCGAATATTGACTAGAGCCAAGGATGTTAGTGGATGGGGCCGGCTTGTGGCGAACTGCAAGTTGAAACGTCTTGTGAGAGTTGCGAACGAGTCGACGGAGAGGGGGGGGAGTCGGGTGAACCAACTAAGTGCAGGTCCTCGGAGTGAAGTAGGAAAGATTCTGCACCATAAGGCGTCGCTTTCTGTGTACAGACCGACCTGCGTTGTAAAGATGTCCACATGTTCTCCGGGGTCGGATGTGCCATCGTATTTGTCTATTACCAACCCTCTCCAATTATCGGGCAACTTGGCTTCTAGAATGCGGTGAATGAACGGGCTCCAGTTCATAAGTTCGTCTCGGTCATTTTCGGTTACCGATTGATATTCCTGTCTTGATTTTTCTTGCAGCGCTGATGATTCTCCTTGATCTTGGACGACGGGGGTAGTAAGGGAGGGGACGTGTGTCCTTATTTCCTCCCTTAGGCCGGCATTTTCCCTTCGTAGGGCTGAGAGTTCCAGTGCATCTCTTTCGCGATCCTTCTTCATCTCCTCCATTTCTGCCCTTAGCTGCCTCAGTACAGCTAGGATGCTTTCTTCCGTTCCTCCCTGTATCACTACTTCTGGTACTAGTTCCTCTGGCGTGACGCCCTCCATTTGTTGCCTAGAAGTCCCTTCCTGCTGGCTTCTCGTCATTACCATGCTTAATCCTGAGTGATGAAGTTGATCGGGCCCCACGGTGGGCGCCAAAATGTTCCTTCCTTGTGAAATAACTGTCTTCAAACCTCTGATCAGGCGTCCTGCTGCTGATTTGCTGATAGGGAGAATACCTGCAAAAGGCACTCCGATGATAAAGTCAGGATTCAGTTCTGAGCAATAAATGTTATTTAATGATCGGAAGTCAACTACTCACCTGTATTTCTTATCTTCTTTTTATAGATATTTTATTGGGCTAATGGGCCTGAGTCAATTTTTATATTTGAGGCCCATAGTATTTTTGATTATCTTTAATTAGATTATTTACCTTTTAATCCTGACTAGGGGTACCGGCCTAGTATGCCGAGTAGGTATTCAGTTTCTTTTTGCTGATGGTGGAACCGAGTTGATTCCTTTCCTAATACAATAGATAAATGATAAAAACAACAGATGATACAACGTGATAAGAAGAGATAGATAAAGTGCAAATATAAAGGATATTAAAGTATTTATAGATTAAAATTATGTATTTGTGACACGGCACTACAGCAGGATGCTCAGTTAAAACGGTGATGTAGTATAGTATATATTTTAAATTACAAAATTCTCTCTTTATTTTATTACAATGTGACGATGCTTTCACTTTGAGAGAGAAAAATATTGTAAGTATTAAATGCATTGATGTGAATTGTATTGTCCAAATGAAGTAGACTTCCATATTAAAAATATATATTGATTAGGAAAAAAAAACTGAAATATCAATCAACTAATCTAAATAAAATTGACTTAACTAATTAATTACCACAGCTCCAACTAACTACTGCGTGGTACTCCTCTTGTTAATTTACATTTCATTTAGCATGTAAGCTCAAGTGGCCAAGTAAAATTTCACATCGATAATTAGTATCGAACATGTCAATTTTTATTCTGAGGTCATTAAGAAAAAGCTTCAACTTCGACTGAAATTAACACTAAAAACATCTAAGATAACTTTGTTCTGCAACACGAAACTGTAGGTTCAGCAAAGCGTGTTTTGTGATGAAGATTTGGTTTCAACGAAGAGGTATAGCAGGCAGTTAAGGATATGACACAATAGCTATTTTTGGTTAAATGGAAAACATTAGATCCTTCTAAGACTCAAAAGCAAGATCTTAAGCTGAAATATGAGTGACACCAACGGAGGGGGAAAATGTTTTCAATAATTTAGGAATATGTACTCCTATAAAAATTGTGACACCTAACATGTTCATTGTGATGTTACTTACTCTCCTTATTAGACGATAGTTCATGAAATTATTGAACTGATGAAATTTTGAATCTTGCTAAGTCATGAAGCATGTTTATAAGAGACTAATGCTTTATTTGGAAGTTTGAAAAAAGAAAAATAAAAGAATTTAAAAAGTAAAGAAAGAAGAGATAAATACAAAATACTTCAAAAAGAAAGAACTTAAAAATATAATATTATAAGAATCTTTGAAGGTTTATAAAATTTATGATAAAGTAATAGATGTTAGTTTACCGTTAGTTAATTATTTCATTACAAGTAAAATTTTTGAGGATGAGTTTACTCTAATTTCTTTTATACACAAGTGAAAAGGGTCATACACTGCGATCCAATTTGAGTAAACATGAAAGTATCTTATAAAAAACAAATAGAATTATTTTTAATTATAAAAATAATTTATACTTTTTTATTTTTTAAAAAATCTTTTAAAATTTGAAAAAATATATCACTTCTAATTTATGAAAAAGATATTATTATTTTTTATGCTATTTTTTTTTATTTCTCTGTAAGTTTATCCATTAATGGTACGCATACATATCTTTTTTCAGCCTCAACCTCTGCATACACACTTTTCCATGCTGATTAAGCTGTGTATGACTTGCTTCTCAATAGTCCAACTGGCTTAATTCTTTAGTGATTTCCACGTGGAAGAAATTAATGGCTACATCTATTGTATCGGATGGCAGAACCAAGATAATTCCCTTTACCAGCTTCGAAACCTTTGATTATTCTTTTGGTTTCTTTTTTGCATATGCATTGCCCTAAACACCCTCTACCAAGTCATCAGCTTCAAATTCAATGTTAAGGACGGCTAAACACGAAAACATAGAAGACTATGTTTGACTAAAGCTTATATATGGCAGTGGTCAAGTATCAAACACCTATATGAAATTATAAATTGATTATTACTATAATGATTCCCCCATAGTTTCAACATAAATCAAGCCAATTTTATGAGGTTTTGGGACAGTGGAGGGCATTATTGAGTTCCCTTTTCAATGAATTAACAGAAATGGTAAAACAAAGCATAAAAGAAGTGTCTTGCCAAACACTTCAGTAAAATCACAATCGAGTTGTATTAAAAATCAATGTTATATATAATTTTTCATTTTTTAGATTTAAAATCGTTAACCAGTGCTACAAAGACCCTGCTATCATCTACTTGCAGAGAAAGAAAAACCATATTATTTACTTGATGAATTGTTTATCTTTTAGTTTCTAAAAATTAATTCCTCCGCGTTATAATTTTTTTTTATAGAAGAAATGTCTCCTAACATATTAAAGTATTTTATAAATCAAATGGTCAGATTGTAGACGATTACGTGATTCCTTAGATGACCTTTTCATCTTGAGAGAAATCACTCTAACCAAATACAAATATTATAATAGCTTTTCCCCCACAGCTTAGGATAATTTGCTCTCTCAAAACATTATCATTCTGTTTTAACTTTCTTCATATTTTTCTGATCCATCCATAAAAGCATATCAATAAATAGCTACAAACAAATATGGCAAGGCAATCTCATGTGGGGAACAAACGTTGGTATGTATAGTAATAACTTTTATGCGAAACTACATTTATAGTTAAATACATAGAAATATCTATAGGTGGTCCAAAATAAGGTCTTAACTTTACACACACATATATAATTTACATTATTTGTGTATTTTGGGTTTTTAACGTAAATTATTCATGCCAAAATTTAATAGTTAATATTTATTTTTTCCATTCTCACAAAATTTCTTTCTTATAATCATCAAATTTAATTATAACTAAAAAAACTTTTCATTTTGATATGAATGCATAATTAAAATTTAATTTTTTAACTTTTATATTAACAAAGTTATCACAGTAAATATTCTCCTCTCTCTCTCTCTCTCTCTCCATATATAAACACTTATCTGATAGCAACATTGTGTGTTTTTGTGACAGTATTTGGAGCTAACGTAGGCCGAAAGCTACAAGCCAAGACACAAACAGACAAGCTGTCTACAATATCACTACGACCCGGTAGTTTTTTAAGCCTTAAACTGTTTTGTCCTTTGCTACAACTCAAGCTGTAAAACATCTTACATTCTCGTTAATTAAGTAATACATTAAATTAATTTTTAAAATTATCAATAGTAACTAATTTACTCTTCAAAATTATAAAAATTTAGTTTAATTTCTAAAACTAATATAAATATAAATTATTATAATTTTAGAAATATTATGTTTTTACAGTTTTAAAGACTAAAATATTGTTGTTTTAATAATTTTAAAAACTAAAATAATATTTTATAATTTTAAAAACTAAATTCACTAATACTTACTATTTTAGGAATTAATTTAATGTATAACTCCATGTCATTCATATATAGAATAATGTGAAGAAGAAAGCAGGCCTTTATATGTGCCAACTATTAAACATATAAAACCACCTCTTTATATATCTGCCTTGTTGACTACCTCTATTCCTATCAATATTACTTATTTATTGCAAGGCTTGAAAGTTGAAACTAATCAAATGGAGTCTGAACATGATCATCAACCGGCATCAGAAAATCCCACTGATCATGGGGAGGAGCAAGCAGGTGCAAGTCAAGTAACATCCAAGTCTTATGAGTGCAACTTTTGCAAGAGGGGTTTCTCTAATGCACAAGCTCTTGGGGGACACATGAACATCCATAGGAAAGATAAAGCCAAACTCAAGCAACAACAATTTCCAAACCAAACTCAAACATCTTTGGACAAGGTCCCTTCATTGGATCAAGCTAATTCTGTTGAAGATCGTAGCAAACCAAACTGGAATTTGAATGTGTCTCAACAAGAACATGGCTCCTCCAGAGCCACTCACACGAGGCAGCTTCCACTCTTTGCCGAATCACCAACTAATAGTGAAACACAAGAATCACAAGATGAAGAACGAACTTTGTTACCTAGCCAAGATTTCTCATCAGGGGTAGACCTTGAACTAAGACTGGGACCTGAACCACAAGAATCATCAAATGAAACGGGTACAAGAAAATTCTTTTGAGTTCTATTCCAATACATAATAATTTGTAGATGTTCAAGAACCCCCCTCCCCCTCCCCCTCTTTCCTTTCTTGGTGAAAAGAATTCATATTCTGTTTGATTTTGTTCTCACAATTTTAATTTTGAGCATTGCTTTGTGTTGTATATGTTAGTTGTAAAATTTACAAGATATGAATACTACTTTTGATTCCTTTTGTTTTTGGTACAATTTTGAGTCTTTATTTTAATTTATTGCACCGCTTTCCAAGCATGGCCTCAAACTCTATTATCTTAAGCAAAATTTCTTATTCGACTCAAGTACACCAAAATTAAAGCTTGCCCTTGCCTAATGTATAGATATAGATTATGCTTCTTAATGGATATGATGTTGCCGAGGAGTGAAAACATGCATATATCATATGATGTTAACCTTAGAATAAATATATATATTTTCATTCCATTATAGACACGAGATTTTATTCTCGATTAGAACCAAGTTAACTTGCCTTGCCATCTTCAACCACTTAGTAATCGATAAGAACAAGGTAATTCACTTGCCTATATCTTAAATTACACACTAGGTGTGCAAACAGTATACATCAACAATTTTAAATTATCTCCATTGATTCAATAATATTATCATGTCACATTTGTATATAATTTTTCTTCATTCTTAATTTCTGAATGAGTGAATTTCCATTTTTCCTCTAACTCTCATTTTTAAGCATGTCAACATATTTGTAACGTAAGCAATTTGTTATATTTTGGTTATTCAGCTTAGCGAGTTTCTTCACTAATCGTTGTGGCTATAGAAATGCTGATTATAAACGTTTCATTTTGTATTGAAACAGTAATGTACTATATAACTATCCTCATGATTAGTTAAAGGTATATACAAACACAAGTATTTGGCTAATGGCCAATTATGAAGCTCAACAACAGGATTTGGTACTTGCATCCTAGTAGCCTGATCTAAGATAATGCTCACCGTATTTAATTTTCAACTAATCAACTTCCATTCTTCCAGGATATATAATATCTACATAGGAAAGAATCATTACCATTGCTAAGTGTCTGGGTTGCTCCAATGCCAATTACAATTTTAGAAAATTCGTATTTGTCAGAAGTTACGCCCTCTAAAAAGGTAAAAATGTGTATCTTTCTTTTCCTTTATCTGAGGAATGTATATAAGTACCATGTGTATTTTTAAATATTGAGACAAAAAAATAATATAAATTAAAAGAAATATATAAAATTATAAAATGATATACGTAATTAAATCAAGTAAATAAACAAACAAATATAAGTGGTTGAGAATTAAGGTGAAAGAACATATTTTAAGTTAAAAGTATACAAACAGCCATAAGATGAAAATTTTACAGCGTAAAAATTGATTTTTTTAAAAATAATTATATTAAAATGATTAAAAAAAAGAAATTTCAAAGTGAAACAATTGAAAGCATTTAATAATTATAAAATAATTTTTATGAAAAATGTTGAATAATGATAAAGCCTGTGTTTTAACTAAAAAGAAAATATTCTATAAACATATCATTTACTTTCAAACTACTACAAAGTTAAATAGATTTTAAAAGAAAATATGTGATAGGATGACAATAGATAAAGTACTTAATAGATATCTATAAAATTTACTCACAAAAAGCAGAGTATTTACCTGCTAAATAGATATAGGTGTGAGTATAAAGACATTCACAAATTTTAACGAAGATGAGTACGGATATAGATATTTAAGTATTAATCTTACCTCATACCTGCATATATATATATATATATATATATATATATATATATATACTATTTTGTAAATTTTATCTATATTTAAACTTTATTCTACAATTATATATTAAATTTTTGTATTATTATATCATTTCTGTGAAGTTGTATAAGTTTTTTTATAAGTGATTGTGTATAAGATTGATTCATTTTTTGTGCGATATATAGCATTCATAATTCATTAATTTTTTTTTATTATTTATACACCTTCATTATGTATTTTTTTATCATTTAGTCAGAACAAATGTTAATCATTAAGTCATTTTCAATAAAGTTAAGTTTTATTTTCTTTCTTTTATTATATTTTCTTGTAGAACGTGTATTTAGAATGAGAAAATTAAATATTTATACAACATTAATAAAATACTTTATTAATACTATAAATTTTCATATTTTTTTATATTTTCAGTATAATTTTTTAAAAAAAGACCTTACATATGTAAATATCAAATAAAGTCAACAAGTGAATACTAATATTTGATTTTAAAATATGATACTAATATATGTTATGAAAAAAGAGAATCTTCTTACAAACTACATTGCAGTAATTAGAAATATTATTCCACTTTCTACTCTTAAATATTAATTTTTATTTTAATTTATACATGTTATTTTGCAACAAATAGTTAACCCTTTCTTTGTTTTATAGGATAGAAAATCATAGAATTGAGTAACTAGGGATTCAGAAAAACAAGAATTCAACTCACTTTTAATTTTTTAGAAATTTTTTTATGCTTTTGTAAAAATTAGATCAAGATAAAGATTTCATTATTTATTTTATTTAATTTTATGTCTTATGTTTTCTACTCAATTCTTTTATATGTCATAATTATTTTATTTTTTTAAATAAATAAATTTTCTATTTTGAACAATATTGTTTTTTAATTTATAATTTTTTATTTTCAAAATTTTTTCAATGTAAAATAAGAGGTTAAAAATTTTAATATAAATATTTATGTTACTCAAAATAAAAGAATACATATATAAAGATATAAAATCTATTTAATAGAAAATAAATATTTACATCAGTATAAATAATTGTTTTATAAAATTAACATAAAAATATATTCACTAATAAAGTAAATCATAAAATTAATTTATTTTTCATATTTTTAATAGAAAAAATTATTTACTATTTTATATCGTTTAACTGAATTAATACAATTTAATTGTTACATAGTTGATATAAGATTGAATTGTTTAAAAAAATTATTTATATATGATACACATATAAAATATTTTTCACACAAATATTTTTTTAAAATAAAATTATATTAATATTTAAATTAGAAAGTGAATGATAAATATTAAATATATTAGAAATATTTTATAATTTTATAATCACCTACGGTTAAGTAAGATTATTATTTATTGATAGTATTTAAATTTTTTGTTTTATATTTTAATTTAAAATAATTTTTTTATGCAACAAATGTGTAACAAGCACACTATAATATATTGAATATAAATAATATTATTCTTATCATTTATTTACATTTAAAGAAGTTTTTTAAAAAATATAAATATAAAAAATATTGTTAATTCTTATTTTTGTTTATTTTACTGAATTTATTATATATATTTTATTACAATTTACTTGTTAAATAATATTTTTTTCAAATAGAGGAGTATAATTTTTTTATTACAAGATTTTATTATAATTATTTATCTTTTATTCAAATTACTTCTATTAAATTTATATACATTATAAATATTTAATTCATTAAAATTATTTTTCAAATAAATATTTATTTTTAAAAAACTACTTTGGTGTAGTACATAGGTTAAAAATATTAGTGTCAATATGTGTGTGTATATATATATATATATATATATATATATATATATATACACACATATAGATTATTAATTATATTATATTATTTTAATTAAATCCATTATTTTTCTTTCAATTTTAGATTCAAAAATTAAAAAAAAAAATTGTGTTGTGTGTACTTCTCGTTGTCGTTTAGTACTTGAGTTTCTCTATCCTAACCTTACTTGTATTCGCAACGTATGCGTCATTTAAACCTATTGCAGCAACCGTATGATATTTGAATATTTGTTTTCTATTTATACCAATGTTATCAATGGCAAATGACAGCTCATGGCGGAAATTCAAAAAACTGCCATAAAGTTACAGCGGGTTTATGGCGAATATAATAAAATATTAAAAAAATACTATAGGCCACAGAAAATGATAAAAAATAATTAACTCAAAATATATGCAGTATGACCCACAATCCAAAGCATAATTCAATTACAAAATATGTAACATTTTTTGAATTGTTGATTGTATTTCACATAAACCAAGTCATGTAATTTTTTGTGATCATGCCTATTTCTCTTCTTTGAATGAATTTGTAACATAAGTTTAATTATAAGAATATTAATTAGTTTCTTTTTAATTTTTAGAAGAAAGTAGTAGGCTCGAGAGATAAGAAACTACTTGTTCAAAAATACTCCAGTTGTGTTCACATCCGGATGCACTACATGTCAAGCTTAAAATTTTGATAGTTAGTTGCTGGAAATGTGGAGCTGAATGTCCATACATTCTCCACCATTGAGCTATAAAATAAAAGATAAATTATAACTCTAAAGATGAATTATAATCTTAAAATTAAAATATTGAAGATTTTGATGAATTACTAAGAGTAATGTTTTTTCTTTGTGATTTTGCAAAGTCGGACCCAAAGAGACCACCACCACTCTTATAAATTGCTTCAAGTAGTATGCTTTGTTGCATATCCTAACTTGGCACCAACCTCTTGATACAATCATACAGCTCAATTGTAACTTCCAAATCAAATTCAATTTGAGGTTGTCATAGTATAATTTTGGGTTTAAAATGTGACCAGCTGCATGTAATGGAAGGTGAAGCTGACAAGTTCATCTATTATCAATGATTGCAAACACATCTTTGTATTTATTTTCATTATTTTTAAATGACTTCATAATAGCTTCTTCACTTTTCTCCATTGCTTCATAAATATACCCCATGGCTAGTCTTCTTTCTCCATCAACCAAACATAACACCCGGACAAGAGGAGTCATGATTTTCAAAGTATATACCAAATTATTCCAAAATACAGGATTTAATAGAATTTTTGTTGCTTGCTTCCCTTTAGCTTCCTTTGATAACTTGTTTTTACACCACTTCTCAAAAGTAAACATCTTTCTAAGATTTGCTTTTTCTTGATGAAGCATTCCTAAAGATAGAAAAGAAGTTGCAAATCGAATAATCGCATGTCTCACCAATTCTCTCGTATTTGTAAAATTTCTCAACAAACTCAAGGTACTTGAATGACTGTAGATAAAGCCAACAACATATATTCTCCTTTGAATTGTCTTCTTTATCAAGGGAAACTTTTCAATATTTTCTAGCGTAAGATCTATGCAATGAGCTACACAAGGAGTCCAATAAAGATGTTATCTTTTCGCTTCCAACATCTTACCAGCCAAGACATAATTGCTTCCATTATCCGTTATCACTTGCACAACTTTATCTTCTCCAATCTCTTCTACAAGAGTATCAAGCATCTCAAATAATTTTTCACTGGTCTTCACAAAATTAGATCCATCAATGGACCTCACAAACATAGTCCCAGTAGGAGAGTTGACCAAGAAATTAATCAAGCATATTTGCTTTCGATCGATCCATGCATCTGACATGATGGAACATCCATGTTTGCTCCATTGCTCCTTATTATCTTTCATGAGAGAATCGATATATTCTAGCTTTTTCTTAAGAAGTGAAACTCAAATATCATGATAACTTGGAACTGGTAAATTTGGACCAAAAGCACCAACAGCTGTAAGCATTTCTTGAAACTCTTCATTTTAATGAGGTTAAAGGACAGGCCAACTTGATACCAAACTTGAGCTGTGTATTGATGGACCCTTACTTTGGCTTCTTTGTCACAAACTTCTCTTATATTTGCTTGTCTCACGTTTACTTTTTCCTTTTCTCAATTGCACTTTCTAGCTTTCTACAAAACAAATCCATTGACCCTTTCTGATTACCCATATAATACTATGAGTTTGGGTATCCTCCACATCCTCACTTTTATTATAGCTTATACTTTCAAAGCTTCTCACATTTGGCATCTTAGAGTTGTTTTGACTCTTTTTATCCTTTTGATATTCCTTAATCTCTTTTCTAACTTCTTTAGGACACTTGGGGCAAGCTTTCATGTTACTTTTCTTTCCAATCAAATGTTGTTCACTCTAGTGATTCTAGCACTCATAACTTTTCCACAAAAGTTATATATAATGTTATTTGTATCACCCTCTTTCAACAAATGAGCGTATTTCCATATCGGGTCAGATCGATTAGAAGCACTTGATGATGAAGATTTTTGTTTAGTTATGTTAAGAGAAGCTGAAATAAAGATAATTTTTCTTTTTAGGATAAACAGAGAAAAAATAGACATGTGGACGAAGGAAAAATTGAAATATGGAAAGGGTAAAACAGAAATGAAGAAAAAAAAACTGCAAAAGAGAGGGAAAAACAAAAAAGGATGGTTACCGAAAAAAATGGAGTCACTGAAGATGGAGGTTGAGGTCGCCGAAAATGGAGGTTTAGGTCGCTGAAGATGGAGGAGATGAACAGAACAGAACAGAGCAGGTCAGAGAAGAGAAAGATCTGAGATAAGTGCAAATCTACATCGAAGAAGACAAAGATTGGAGAAGAGAAATAGAAAAAGATGGGAGATGAGCAGAGATGAGAGGGAAGGTTTTGAGTGACGGAGAAGAGAGACTTACCTAAGTTTATGCACAGGTCAACCTTGGACCTGGTCAGGTTTGGGCCCAAATCATGAAAATCGGCCATTTTTCACAATTTTCTGCCATGGCTGTCGTTACCGCCATGGCGCCACCATGCAAAATAGCCATTTAACAAAGGCAGTGTAACAGCGGGGTTAAAAACTACCACCATTTCTGCCATTTGACAACATTGATTTATGCTTGAACTTTATTTGATAATTGTATATTAAATTTTTGTATTATTATATTACTTTGATGTGAAGTTACATAAGCATATTTTTCTTTATAAGTGTTTTTTTAGATAAGTGAGGGTAATAGATGTAAGTATAGGTATACAGATATCCAAAGAGTACAGGTATAAGAATTAAATTACTACTCACGCAAGTACGAAGTTGGGTATAAGTATTTTTTTTTAAATGTGAGTATTGAGATAAGTATTATAATACTCTGCTTATTGTCATTTTCACTGTGTGACTCAATTTTCTTCTTACTTTTTCTTTCATATTATATATAAAAATTAATAAAAAAATTAAAATTTAAATAAGTTGTTAATCTCTAAAAATATTATATTTTCATATTTTAGTTCCTATAAAAAATTATTTAATTTTAGTATTTATTTTTAATAAAAAGCACATAATTTTAGTCTTTTATCAAGGAGTAAAATCACTTTTTTTTTTACTTTTAAAAACTAAAGTCGAATAAAATTTTTACAATAACCAAAATCACAAGATATGATATTTTTAAAGACTAATAATTTATTTAAAATATTAATTTAGTTACTTATTTAGTAATATTTTATCTCTTTGCAATTATTATAAAATAATATAACTCTATTGCTAACTTTAAGAATAAAAAATATTTATTATAAACAATTAATTGATTATTCTAGATTTTATTTGGTTGAATTTTTTATAAAAATTAATATAAAAATTTAATATTTTTTATAAATTAAAAATAATTTATACTTATCTATTTTTAAAAAAAATTAATAATCTTTTTTATTTATCTTATTTAAGACGTAAAAAGATAAATTATTTTTAATTTATAAAAAAATTATTGATTATTTATATTAATTTTTTCTTTTAAAAAAACTTATCTAAACGTTCATCCAAATGCAAACAAGAACAGAAAGTACTTATTTTGAGCGTTACGTGATGTCTATTACAGATTTGTAAAGTTTTGAGTGACCCCATGTCACTGTAGATTAGATATAACTTTCATGTCTTTGTTATTTATGTTGCGCCGAGACACATTTCCATGTCTTTTTTAAACATGAAATATATTTAATTTTCATTTAATACTTTTTATAATGCACAGTAAAATTTTGTAAAAATATATAAGCTTATTCTTTTTTTCAATAAAAAACAAGCATGAAATTTTAATTTATATATATTGTATAAAAAATTAACATTATACTAATTTCAAGAACTGGATTACTTCTTGAATAGCAAAATATAGACAGCCTCTAATTATGCATTCAAAATGTACCTGTTGAAAAATCCATTGTTAGCATTGCATTAATCAAGGCCATAAATATTTCCGACCTAATTTAAAGTAACTATTTCAATTAATTGATTGAGATGATTCATATCAAACTTTTTAAAAAACATCTCAAATTAATTTTATGTGTGAAGAGAATTTCTATTAGAAAATTTGAGTCATGGTGCTGCTAATATTTTTCACCCAAAATTCTTATTCCAAACCAAAATCTAAACATAGAAGCAAGAATGCATAATATAGGGAAAGGGAAAACCTTGTTTTTATTGTTTTCCCCCCGAAAATAGGGCATACAATTACATAAATAAATATTATGTTTCAAAACATACAACTTTACAAAACCATACACCATCCAACCAAATTATCTACGTTACCATTACCACAGACGCAAACAACATAGTTTTAAGCTGTGCAATGTATGTTCAACTTCCACTAATCATCGTCAACATAGATAGTCTCTTGCTTGAACAGGCCACCGAACACGTTCCTCACCTCCTTTTCTGTCCCTTCTTGCTTTGGTTTTTCCACCTTTGGTTTACTACCACCACTTCTTGGAGTTGTTTGTTTAACCACTGCCTTGTTAGGTGCAAGACTCCGAGCCTTGACTTGTCCCCTTATAGTGGCTAATTGAACCTTTGGTTTCTCATCCTCATCACCCTTTTGGGTTGAAGTAGCAATCTGTGAGCTCAACTTTTGCCATGAAAAGCCTGCACCAAAATCTTTTGCCTTGTTCAAGAGGGTTTCCACTGATGCCCCTGCCGCCTCTGCCTTCTCTTGAGCCTCTTGAGCCTCTTGAGCTAGACTAGTTGCCCGTGCTTCTTGCTTCGAAAGCTTCTTCACCTCTTCTTCCAATTTCTTTGATGTTTCAGCAGCTTCACGAGCCTTTTCAGCAGCCACTCTTGCTTCTTCCTCTGCTTTAGCTTTCTCCAGCATTTCAGCATACACTTGTCTCCTTCCATCCTCAGGAATAGTGCTGTAATGAAACTTAAAAATCAAACACAAATGGATTCCCATCCTCCTCTAAGGAAAGCAACGCCAAAGAAAAATGTTAACCTTGACCCTTAAGTTTAAATAACCAATAATAGTACGACTTATTTTAAAAAAAATACATATTTATTATACTATTATAACTTCAATGCCATCAATAGGGTTTTTTTCAATAAAAGCTTGCTACTTTTAGATGCTTCAACTCAGTTTTAAGAACTAAAATTAGATTTAAAAAAAAAAAGAAACAACCTATATTTAACCAATTTACCTGAAGTGTTCTTCTACTTGCTTCAAGGGGGCACTCGGGTTCGAGTACACTTGGACAACCTATTAGAGAGAGAGAGAGAGATTAAACAAAAAACGAAAAAAAAGGTATCTTGGTCAACAGAAAGCTTCAATCTTCTATTTTTTAAAATAGAATAATTCTAAACCCCCTATGATAATATCTTCTTACTAATCCTCTTATATAAATATATATAAAAAAAAATTAAGATGATTTTTTTATAATGACTCTTTTAGGATGATTCATGTAACACTGTCCTTTCAAATGTATATGGCCATGTGAGGATGCATTATCCAGAGAATGTAAAATGATACCTTGTTTTCTGCTACCTCTGTGTTGGAGAAGACACCGGCCACTAAGGATGCAATCTTGGACTTTGATACCTATAATAATCATCATTTTCTTAAAAAACTAAACACATAAAAGTATGGAATGGAAATAAGAATGTAACAAAGAGAGGGAAAAAGGAAGATAAAATACAACATCATTAAGATATTATCGCATACATTACATTACTTTATAGTCGTTCGAACCGGGGCTTCCTTCGCCTAAGACGACCACATTGTATGAACCTTCGGGTGTGAAATCATCGGTCAAACTTGTCTTGATGAAGGTGTATTTGACGTCTGTTTCGATCACTTTCTGTAAGAACTCTTGTATGGTCAATGGTTGAGACCGAGAGAAGAGATTGTTGAAGAAGGAGGAGATGCCATCCAGTACATTGTAGGTTGAGCCGCCCGCGATGCTCTCGTCGTAGATGACGGCCACGTGGCCTACTCCTGCCAGCTGTGCTGCCTGAACCACTTGCAATGCGTCTGAAGTTGAGACCGGTGTCGTTGGCCCATTCTCTGTGGGCCCAATTGTCACAACCACTTTGCTCGCATTGCCTATTGCTTTGGCTATTGAATCTGCATCATCGAAGCTTGATTGCACTGCGTTTAGACGCTTCGCCTCTTCCTTTGATATGATCTGTGTCGCGTTGCCCATGCATCAGTAACCGGAACGTACTCCAAATGGAAATGGAAATTTCATATAAATTCATAGTGTTTAAAAATATATTGAAATACTTATAACCATGAAATTATAACTATTTAAGACTTATTTAGATTCACGTTTAAACGATTATAAATTTTACGTTTTTTTAGTTATGACTTCTAGCTTGTATTCACGTTTATTACACCCTTTTAAACATGTCATTAGCAGTCGTGAATCCAAACTCAATTTCAATACATTGCTACGATTTGCTTGCTCTATACATATCAATTTCACATTACGATGTCGTAAATTTTACCCACATATACTTGCTACAAAGCTTGATTTCATTTTGATTTTTTTTGTTATTTGTGTAATGGCCGAGTTGATCCTATACTTTCTTTAGAAGTACAATTAAGAAAGAAAAGGCTTAATTATAGGAGTTGTGTAGTTTGCTTACTGTTGAACTGACCCTTTATAAGATATTAACAATTTGGAGAATTGATCAATAGAAATGCAAGCTATAGAAGTGTTTGATTAAGAAGCTTACCTTGTATTGAGTAGCAAGACGAGCGAGTTCTTGTGCAAAAGCAAGTTCGGGGACTCCAGCACGTACACTAAAACCTTCTCTCAGCAGCGTTTGTGCAATGCGAATACCAGCTTGGCCTGTTGCGCCAGCCACAAAGACTGCTGAAGGATCCTTGCGCCTAAAGGAAAAACCGGGAGAAGAAGTGTTGCTTGTAAGTGGGATCAAAGATGTGACATCAGGTACCTTTCCAAAGTTGAGACGAAAGGGGTTGGAATTGGAAGAGGTAGCTCCATCTTCACCTTGCTGACTAAGTGACTTCTTAGCAAAGACTCTTAGCCTTGGGTTGCGGAGGGTCAACCTTGAATGAGGGGTGGTGGGTAAAAGAGATGAATTGGATGTGAGTGTGGGAGCCATGGATAGAGTGAAGATTTCCAAGGTGACCCTTCGCCTTCAGTTAGAGTTTGGTTTGTGCATCTCTTAGCTACTGAGTGAACCATTAGTTTTGTTTGATGTTGGGGAAATTATCTGAATGGAAGAAGCCAGCGAATTGGCTATAGCCACGTAGTCAGAGTTTATCCATTGCAAAAATATCCAACGCCAACCGTTCAAACAACGCACAAATTCACCATCCCTTTTCACTTGGGAATCCAAATTTGTATCCTCTCCATTCTTGTTATCTTTCCATCCATTGATGCACTTTGGAAAAAAAATTTATGCTAAAATTAAATTTTAGGGTAAGCAAATGGTGCCCCGATACAAGGCATGAAAAAGCCTTCGAATTTAAAAGATATTTTATGTTTGCCTGTATTCAAGCAAATTAAATTAGTTTTTCAATTTGCTTGTTCTTATATGAACCATTTACATAACACAGTCCCATAAATTTAGATAATTACAAACAAAAAAAGTTTATTCTGTATATTTTGTAAGTTTTGAATTTCTCCAATATTAATAATATTTAATTTTTCAATTCAATCTTAACTTAAAAATTTTATAATTTTTTTTATTTTAGAATATGTATCTCCTAAATTTAATCTAATTTAATATGATAAAATATTTCATTAATATTTAAAATTCTTACTCCTTTTTAAATTTATAACATTTATTAAATTAAAAGTAATCATATTTTAAAAACTAAATATTTTAATTTAATAATATCCACATAATACACATGTATAAATAAAAGTCTATGAAAAGTGAAACATTAAGAAAAACTACTCTCCTTTATAATTCATCATATGTATATATTAAAATTAAAATTAATCAAAAATAATATATTAATCACATTTTTTTTACATTCTCTTTTACTATAATAGTTTTACGTTCTACTTTCCTCTTTGTTAATAATATTATAAATTTTGAGATTAAAATTATTAATTAAATTTTTAATTATCTTATACAATTTTTTTTAATTTTTCATAAATACTTATTTTTATATTTATAAAAAATTTCTTAATATTTTATATAAATTTTTAAATTTTTTGTAAATATTTATGTTTACAATTGTAAACTTTCTCCTATTACTTTAAATAAATTCAATTTTTTATGAATATTTATTATGATATTTAATATAATATTTACAGTACTCTCAATAAAAAGTATTAACGAAAATTGCAAACTTTATTAATTTTATCTATTTTTCTCAAAATTTGTTATATTATCATTCTTTCTTTAGTTAATTATAACAAAATTATTTTAAACATTAAAATGTATTTCACACTTTTCTATCTATATTATATATAAAATATATGTATTTTTTACATTTAACATAAATTAAATATATAAATTATTTTTTTATCAAAATATACATCATAATTGATATATATTTCTTTATTATATTGAATTACTTTTATAATCAGGTAAAATTTTTAATTTGTCTTTTAATTTTTATAATATATTATGACGATTCATATTTATAAAATTACGTTTTATAATTATTAAATTATGTATGTATAATATTTATATATTACACACACTACTAAGCTAATTATATTAAAAGTTAACAATATTCAAATTATAGCTCAATAGTTAATTTCTGCATTGCAGACACTACAGATTATAGCTTATCTGAGTAAAACTAATTGTCGCGGGTAAAATGTTCTGATAAAGTGATATAACGAATTTCCTATAAACACGGTAAATTTCACTCGGTTATTTACAAATTGATTTGTTAGTATGCATCTTGACATGAAGAAACATGTGCTACGAGATAGTTACCAAACTCACCCGATTTGGATGAGATTAATTAAACACGTTAATTTAATAGTGCTTTACTTTTAAGTTTTGAATACTTCAGGAATAAATCAAATATTAATTGGGAACAACGTTCAGAGCGGGATGGAAGCAGTATGTTTTTACGGGCAACTTGTTTACTCGCTCCCTCCGTTTTTTAAATAATAAAAATACTCCAACAAACTTTTAGGGTATAAAAATTAGTAACAATTACTGATTATATTTCGACAAAATAAATAGATCTTATCAAATCAATTTCAACTATTAATGTATTTCTTCAAACTTTAAAAAACAGTCAACCTGAAAATCACTAGTTTCAGATTATTGAGAAGGCACAAATAATTTCTAAATAAACCGTAACTATAATTAGCTTTCAAATAAAATTATTTTTCATAAACACACCAAAAAAACCTTCATTTTACATAAAATCATTAATTTATCACCTACATACAATCTTTACTCATTTTAAAGAACTATAACAGACCTTGGCTGTCAAAAAAACACACTGCTAATAAAAAAAAAAGATATCTCACTCGCAATGCACTATACTTGGTAAGAACACGACCTGTTCATTGATGTAAAAAAAATAATTGTACTACATTTTTAAAACTTTTCAAAAGCCACTTGAAGAAGAAAAAGAATCAGTTCCTTTCCAAATTTCTTTCCTTATTTTGACATAATTATTCTAAACAGTTTGAAAAAGGCCACAAATAGGACCTTAAACCATGCCAACTTAGTTTTTGAAAACTAAAGTAACTTCAGACCAAAATGGATAAAAAAAATAAAAAATAAAAACTAGAGTCAAACAACCCTTAAAAATGCTACGGTCCCAAAATAAACCTTAAAATTTTATTTGAGAATGAAAATACAGTGTTCTATTTCAGAAGCCAATTTTTTATTTTCATTTTTCGTTTTTCTATTACTATTTTCTGCATAAAACCTTTTAAAATAAGAAACAAAATAAAAATGAAATGTATTTTGAAATTAAAAGTGAAAAACAAAAAAAAAAAAAAACATTTTCCGAAACTAAACGACCCAAAATCTTTGCACTGCAAGAAAGGAAAATTGAAAACATTCTTTGAACTTAACAGCCACAAAAAACGAGTTCATAACGTTAAAATAAACAACAACGCATTAACATTGCAACAAAACAGGGAAATCCAAAATAAACTAATTGCCCTACACGAAGCAACCATGAGGAAACCCACCACACCAGAATGCTTCAAAGACAGCGATTTGATGTTCTTGCACACAATACATTCAGAAAAACACGTCTGTACAAAGCACACAGATGCATCAAGCTCAATATGGAGCCAAGAAATACATCATGGAGATAACCAGGAATCACAGCCCAGGAACAACTCCCAAGATACAAGGTTAAGAGTTTTGAAAAAAGTATAGCGAGAAAGGACCACCTACGTACATACAACAGATTTACTAAGGAAGCTCTTCTAGAACCAAAAAGATGCTAAAAGAATGAAAAAACTTCACCTGAATTGAAGTTCAAAATATAGGCCTGCACATGGTCTTCTCACCAGGTCATCTAGAGTTGACATAAATTTCATCTACCAATTGACCAGAAAGCTAATTTAGTATCAACCTCATTAATAATATTCACAATACCTTCAGGATTAATCTGGTCTAAAAAAGAAACTAGTCAACATCACCCACCACATCAAAGCCAGAGGGAAAAGAAGAAAAAGAACACAAACCAGAAACAACCAAGATGGCAGAAGAAACAATAGAAGACAAAACCAAGATGCAACACCCCCAAAGCATGAAATTCCCAACCAAGGGGAGACAAATATTACCAGTAAACATAGGGCAATGTCTGCATAGAGTTGTACTCAACAGATTTGCTCAGAAAGCGTCATTTATCCATTTCCGCTGCCAGCATTAAAGATAGACGACATCAAACATCTACCAAAAAAATAAAAAAACATAACATTTGTAAAGCCAGGTTTCTTAAATAAGCTAAGATATTTCTCAATAAGTTTTTAAATCATAAAACTTAAAACTCAATAGTGTTGTATTCAGTTATTCATGCTCCTCTTTGCTTTGAGGGATTCTAGAGCCTTGTTCCGTAATTCAATCTCAAGCTTCTTTTGCTCAGATGGCATCTCTTCACTGTCACTTCGATGACAATCCATTGGTTCAGCTTCGTCATCTGAAATATCGTCTGCTTTACTCTTCATTTTCAGCTTCTCAGTACGCCGTTCTTCCCTTCTCCGCCGTCTTTCTTCACGTCTTCGACGCTTCTCCTCTTTCCGCAGTTTCTTCTCCTCCTTTCTCTTTCTCTTAGCCTCTTTCCTGTCCTCCAACTCAGAATCATAACTATAATCCTCATCAGAAGATGCATATTTTTTCTCAGACCTTTTATGCTTTCTCCTATCCTTTCCCTCCCGTCTACGCTTACCACTTTCCTCAGAAACAGAATCATATGAAGCACTCTGATTGACAAGGTCAACTTTTTCGACTAAATCTTCAGTGGCTTCAGATTTGTGGCGCCGATCACAACTTTTGGCATAATTTGAATGGGACCGATCCTTATCTACAGCATAAGATTCATGAAGCTTCTCCCTGGAAAAAGTTTCCTTGTTCATTGGTGACTTCTGTTGAGCAGAAAACTCGGTGCCTTTTCCAGAAGATTTATCACTGCCAAAGGAGTTTTCCATTATCAGAAATGTATGCAGTGTTGTACAGGCATTAAAATTAGAACAACTGCAGTATGCCAACCATATTACCGTTTTATCTCCCGGTCTTTCTTATTCCAATCATTGTTATCATAATGACGATATTTAGAAGCTGGATGAGCCGCTGCTCTTTCAGGAGAGAACCCATCCTCACGACGAAATTTTGCAGGTGAATCTTTTTGCTTACTAACTGGGGAATCTTTTGACATGTTTAGTAATGAATTCTTCTTAGGATCTCTGCCCCCTCTACGAATGAGACAAAAAAATTGAGAAAGAAGAGACAACAAAACAATAAACAAATCTATCTTAGAAACTTATTTTCTTAAAAAATAATCACCAAGTAACTGAAAGTTATCCAATTTAAATGCAAACCTAGAATAATATGGTTCTTCAGCTTCTTCCCTTGTCTCTGGGCTGTAATGGCTAGGTTTCTGGGTTCTTTGTTTCTTCAGAGGACTCAAGCTTCTATCATTGGTCAGCTTCTTTCTTCTTTGCTTCAAAGGGCTTTGATGAGGCCTAAACATTTCAAAAAGCAAATAAACGTGCATAAACACTCCAAGTCTGAGGACTGATTAGAAGACAAGAGCATAGGATAAAAAGTCAAGGAAAACTGCCTTCTGTCTTCACTGCTGGTCCCACTACTTGCTTGTGGAGATACAGATCGAATTGGAGACTTCTCAGGTGTGGACATTGAATCTTGTGATTTACAGTGTGAAGCTTTGCCACTTTTATCTCTTTGTACAGACCGCAAAGGACTAGAGGGTTCACGAGTCTCAGATGATAATCTTTCTTGGGTTCTGCAATCCCCAAAGATTTGCTAAATTTTGTTGCTAGAACAAACCTTGTCAAAACTATCACTCCATAATTTTGTAGTTCCATACAGGACTTGGAGTAGAGCCATTATAATATTTCTGATTATAAACTCTCAACCCGCTTCGAAAATGAATAAACAATTTTACATTCAAAATATTTCTTTTAAAAACTTTACTATTATCACATTAAAAAAATTCATGCACACCTGAGACAACACAAATAATAATATTCAAGCATTTCATTAAGTTTCACTATACCTGACTCTTCCCATAGAAGACTGCAGAGGACTTCTCTGGTGCCTTGGAGGAGATGGAGATACACGCCGAACTGGAGACTGAGAACTCCATTCATCTCGAGAGGGAGACCTCCGTGAGGAAGTATTTGGAGATCTTTTCTTAGCAGAAATAGGTGATCTACGCCGCAATGGAGACAGAGAACGCCGAATTCTACTATCATACCTTCGTCTTATGGGGGAGGGAGATTGCATGGGGGAGTCTGATCTAAGTCGTACACTGGTTGGTGGTATTCGGCGCACAGGTGAAGGTGAAGGTGATCTATGCCGAGTTATAGGTGATCTTGGCCGTATAGGAGAGGGCGACCGCCCCCTTCCAATAGGTGATCGTGATCTATGTCGGCGCAAAGGTGATCTCCGTTGACGCAGTGGAGAAGGTGATCTACGTCGACGCAGTGGAGAAGGTGATCTTCGTCGACGCACTGGAGATGGTGATCTTCGACGCACTGGAGATGGTGATCGTCGTCGACGCACTGGAGAAGGTGATCTTCGTCGACGCACTGGAGAGGGTGTTCTACGTCGACGAAAAGAAGGTGAACTGCGATGGAATGGAGAATGCACTCTACGTCGTAGAGGAGAAGGAGATCTGTAGTTTGAGCGGGATCTGGATCTTCTCCTTGAATAAGATAGTCGTCTATTAGGAGATTGTCGAGGGGAATGTCTTCGAGGAGAAATAGATCGCCGTCGCAGAGAATGACGAATCTTTTCAAAAGAAAGGGAGCGTCCTTGAGCCTCTGGAGACCTGGATACACTCCTTGACCTGCGTCTACCACTAAACAGCACATTCCAATTAATACAAAATGACAAATCCCAATTAAAATTCATCATACAATATCATACTAATCAGAAGACTAAAACGGGTGGAGAACAAAATGAAGGTCCAACAGCTGGCCAAGTAACACGTTTAATTATGCATCATATTAAGATAATGAATGGCAATACCTACAAGAATGAATCAAGACAAGAGAAACTAAAGTAGCATATACAGAATCATACCCCGAATAGCTCCGAGAATTTGAAAATGATTTGCTCATTGACCTTGAAGGTGAGCCTCTGCCAAAGACAGCGAGCACCACATATTTACAATCTTTCAATTCAATATAAAAGATGGAAAATATATGAAAGTTGGTTTTAAATATTGTTACCTATGAGGCGAAGTGGAAACTGCAGCTGAATGGGGGGACCTAGAAAACCTATGATACAGTGTAGCCAATTAGTATTTAGTACTAGAGACTCAATTGAAAAGTTTCAAGGTGTAGCCAAGTTCATCAAGATTCTCTTCACCCAAACACCAACCAAATACTCAAATAACAAAACTGAAACTTAAATAGAAAGTTCAAAATAAATGTTTATGGAATGATTGGCGTCAAATTTCAAAGATGAAGTCCTACAACATCTAATATAATGTTCCAATATCAAATACTAATAAAGAACAATAAATTCAAATGACTTCATAATGCAGGAAGTTTTAATAATTTCTCAAAATCTTCATACTGATTTTAATTAATTATTATATTAGGCAATTTTATGGTTGCCAATTGCCAATTTTAAGGTTAGGACTGAAGTTTGTTAGCTTCTTAGTCAAGTTTATACTACAAACAGGCCTCTTATGTGTAAAGTGTGTTACACCTTATATTCACACTTGAGCATATTCTTCCAAGGATTCTAATAATCAACTAGGACGTTCCCTAGCCTCTTCCACAATGTGTCACTACTATATAATAAGTAACAACTTAACATAAAATCCACCCACTGTGAGAAATTTAACCATTGTTTTTTTTTTTTTTTACGGTTTAACCCACTGTGAAACCACTAAAGAAAGAAACAAATATTATTATGAAAAAGAAGGAATTGATCTATTTAACCTGCTCCTTGCTCTAACACCGTTCCTCTTGTCAGTTTCGTTCCCATCCCGATCGTAGTACCCTGAATCCCTGGGCTTCAAGGTTGAGTCAGATGCAGTATCATTATCCTTCGCATCAAATCCACCGTCCTACAGTAGTTTGAGGTAAAGGACATGAACCCAAATAATTGCAGAAGCTAGCTGAATGCCATGAAAACACAAATGGAAGTTAAAACCAAAATCTCAGCTCTATAAAATGTAACTCCAGCATGGACACGGTGGTATTACCAGTTTCTTCAGCCTCCCTTCCATGATATCTCTACCTTCCTTATCTTTTTTCCTCTGAATTTCACTTGTGATACGATCATTTTCAGCCTAAAACATCCACAAGACACAACTTTTGTCAGAGACCTCCAAAGTAAAGAGAAAAGGTATTTTGAGAGCCAATGAATGGCATATCAAGAGTCAGCAGCACCTTCTTCTTCTGGAGTTCTTCTTCCTTGGCATCCAAGAACTGCTGAGGAACACCACTGGCATTTTTCTGTGCACTGAGAAGAAGCACCCAGAGTTCTTTCATGAACTTTCCAGTGTTTTTTTCCATAAATCCAGTAATTTGTATTTGGACTTCCTTCCCATTCACTTCCTGCATCATAGTGAATAGAATGTGAATGGTGAAAAGTTATAGCACGGAAATATCAAGAAGTTCATGACTGTGAGTACATTGACAATAGTTCATTTTGAGGAATAAAACTGCACATTCAGATATTAAAAGCAAATAGGTGTTAGGTAAATAACATAATGCAAATTTCAACATATAGACATTACAAGAGGGAAAATGGCAATATTATTGAGATTATGAGTCATGGCAAATACAAAGGTGAAAAGTAAAATAACTTTCAATCTCCAAGAGAAAATGGTAAATTACCTTTGCATCCAGAAGGCTGTGTATGAAGTTAATAAGCACTTCATCTTCGAACCCTAGAAGCTCGGTCACCCTTCTAGTGATCCAAGGCTTAATTACCTCCATATTAACCTTCGTCATGTCCACCTACAAACCAGTTTTCAAGCATAGCTGAATTTGAAACAAAAGGAGGACACATAGAGAAAGGCAGCGACTGATACAAATTAAATTTATCAAGTTCATATACACGATAATAATCCTCGTTGTTCCAAATAGCAAAAACCCTTAAAAAACCTAAAGATCAAAATCAATCAAGTAAACGAACCAGGTGTTCCAACTCTGGGGCAAACTTTTGCGATTTTAGCAGCTTTGCTTGCTTGTTCGAAAACCGAGTGTCTTGATCCGCAGAAGTTCCCTAATACAAATTTCAGCAATTACAATTCATAAGTAACATACTGCAATTAAAATTACAAGGGATTGAGAACGTGACAAAAAGCAAATAATAAAAAAGATAAGATCTAAGAAATTTTCAGATAACTTAGGTCCGATTCAACACAATAAGCAAAAGAGCATTTGCTAGTTCGAAGGTGACGCGATACTAACTCGAAAGAAACCGCCAGACATCTTCTGATGCTAATCGTTTCGGAACGGATAGAAAAGTGTGTGGCGGAGATTGTGAGTGAGAATCTAGGAGCGGAGAAAGATGGATTCCGTAGTAGCAGTTTGGTTCAATCTATGGCATGCGACGTTGAACTAAGATAAGTAAAGGATGGAAGATATAGGGTTGTGATTCTGAACAGTGTGGTGAAGAAGAAATGAGAAGCGAGCTCTAGAGGCGAGCGCAGACTAGCTATACGCCACGGAGCTTTGTTTGGGTTCACAACCTAACCTACTCCAAGCATGCCCTAATTCTAATTCAACTGACATGATTACAAAATTATCCCTCCTGTGTTAAATTACAACGCTGCCCATCACAAAATATTTTCTACTTTGTTTCCTCTTGCCGTTCTTTTGCCCTTTCTTCGGATAGAAATAGATCACTAAATGGAAGGCAGAAAATGACTAATTAAGTAATTGATCATTTTTATTTAATATGATAAAAGATTAAAAAAAAGGAAAAATAATTAAACTTGTAAATTTTAAATATATTCTTCACCCTAAAAATATAATGTTATTAGTAAGTATATTTGACAATTTTTTAATAAAGAAAAGTATCATTCTATTTGATTCTTTGTTAACCAGATATAAAAATAATTAAAATAGATTTTGAAGAAAAAATTAAATGAATGAAAATTTCATCATTTTTATTTTTCAAAGAAAAACAAAATCACATATTGATTTATATTCTTTTATTATTAATAATATTTTTCATAATAAGAGTTAAATGTTAAATATTTTAAGTTGATTTTATTTTCTTTTATAGGTCGTGGTGACAATAATATAGACATAATTAATATAAATTTTAATATGAAAATAATGAAGAGTAAAATAAAATAGAGAAGGAAAAAGAAAGGTAAAAAAGATTGAACGGATAATGTTATAATATAGTTATAACTTATAAACAATAGCATCTTACACTATTTGCTAAAGTTGCAAGGCAAAAAAGAATTATTTAAATGTTAATAATTTTTTTTACTATGTTTCTTAACTTGTATCAGGTTGAAGGTGATAAAAAAATATTTAGACATTGATAAGGATTAATTATCTTAACAGTATGAAAAAAAAAGCTCTTATAATTATGTTATATGTATTTATTATTATTATTATTATCCTCGATTCTTATTTATTAATATTATTTATGTTTTAACGTATATTATTTTTAAAATAGTGTGATATAAATTTATTATTTATTTATATTTATATTTTTTTTATGAAATTATTATTAATGTTATTAAACTTTGAAAGTTTAATAACTCATTCAAGATAATAGGCATTAGATTAGAGGTTGAAGTAGTGTGTTACTATCTAATTTGAACTAGTTAAAATATGAGCTAGTTCATTTCTAATTTACGTAAAAATAAGATTGTTTAATCGTTTTTATTTAAATAAATTATATAAAAATACAAAATTTACTTAAACAAATCTATCATAGAATAACATATAATATATTTGAAATCTTATTGGAATAGTTCACTCACCATTCACATCCTTTGTATTGGAGTTTCTCACTACAACAACCTTATCTTCAATCATAAATACAATAGAATAAGGCTTTTCAAGCTTTTCACTAACATCAATGATCATTCATATGAAAAGTATGAGCATTAAAGTTGCAATAAGACAAAGAACCACCTATATGTTAGAAGTGGTATTGAAAATTGACCCGTTTTCTTCAAGCTTCACTCTTAAGGTGCAAATATTCACAAAATTACTGATATGAGCAACTCCAGAAGAGGCAAACCGATACTCAACAACAAAAAATTGAACATTTATTAGCATGGATTGTCCTATAATGAAGTATCAAGCATGCTCATTAGCTAAACTTTTGAGTAAATGAATAAATTTTCAAGTAGCTGATCAAATTTTGAGTCATTAAACATCTTACATTCAAGACCAACACCTATGATGGATTAGAGAACATTATCGTAGACAATAATGATGTCGACACATTATTAGCCACAATGTTTGAACACATATTGTATGTCGTTATATATGCTCACAACATTGTGCTCTTATTAGCGTTGTGTCAAAAATAGGTTGCAAAGAGTATATAAGGAAGCAAATAATACTTGTAGCCAACACTTCAAACACATTAATGACAATATATATGTATATATATATATATATATATATATATGAATCGATAATTTTATATTAAATATTAATTAAACATATTAATCAAATCAATTATAAAGTCAAATTTCTAACTCAATCAATTCACATTAATTATTATAACATGTCACTAATTGTTAATAAAAAAAATCTTTTATAGTCTTAATTTAAATATTAAAGTCTAACTCAAGTAGTAATGATGTGAACACTAATTGTGCTTGTGGTATTTATATTAAAATATTTTATTTTATCTTTTGGTCTTAGAACAAGCAAGGAAGTGATTTTGCAAAACATTGTAGGAGATGTACAATAATAAGCGTCAATAAGTTCAAGATGTTTTACATGAAAGTGAAAAAAAATGGTATGAAAAGATTTGGATGGATAGTAAACATGTATTCTCATTATTTGTAACGTCTTAAACTTTTTATTCTCAAATTACAACATTCATTTATATATAATCGGGATAAATAATATAAATTTCATATATATAACGGTAGTATGAAAAGAATGTAAAAGGAAATTAAAACTTTTCTACAATTAAGGTCATTTCTAAAATTTTATTATCAACATGATACGATGAATAAAATAAATTGTAATTTGATAATCATAATATGCCAAAATAATTAAGGAAATATATATATGCTAAACTTTCATTTACATATAATGAGTGTAATAATTTATAAATTATTACTCAAAATGTGTAAGACTAAAAATAATAATTATATAACTAAAATGAATTAAATCTCAGAGTAATCATAATCCATATTTAAAATAATAAGGATCTGGTACTAATCATTATCATGTCATTCCCTAATCTCTCCTAGATCCTCAAAATCTAAATCTTCATCATCTCTAAGATAAAAGATCATCAAAATCAGTCGCAATTTCAACCGTGATCTATTCAAAAATCACTCAGGTCGATCTTTCGAGATGATCATGATCAGAATAAATACACAAGTAACTCATAGCAATAGAAGTCCTAAAAGTTCCTATGTATATATATATATACAAAGATTATGATGGATCATATTATTTGAAGGAAAGTGTAAAGGAATGCTATGGTATAAGTCAATCTCCAAAGTGTATATGTGACTAGGTACATTATCACAATCTATAGCAAACTTAAAATAACAAATTTTCTAATACTCATTAAATATACAATTTAATCTATATTGTATAAAACTATCTATTAATCTAATTCGCTCTCGAGGTGTTGTCATCCTTGTTACCTGAAAATTTTAGTAAGGATGAATATTTTTTTTGTCATTAAACATACATTCATATCAAACATTAATATCATAACATGATTATAAATATAAAATAGAATAACACATAATAAATTATTGTATGAAACTATCTATTAATCTAATTCGCTCTTGAGGTGTCGTCATCCTTGTTACCTGAAAATTTTAGTAAGGATGAATATTTTTTTTTGTTATTAAACATACATTCATATCAAACATTAATATCATAACATGATTATAAATATAAAATAGAAGAACACATAATAAATTCAACCACAAAACAACATGACAACAATTCTCACACAGTCACAATACATAATTATATCATGAATCCTTAAGTCTCCCTCTTAAATACGCACTCCTAGTGAAACTCTGCTCCAATCATAAAAGACACAGATTAAATTGTCTTAGCCCGTAGGAAAATTAATAAAAGAAATGAAATCTCACTTCCTATAGATCCATCATACTATATTGGATAACTAGAAAGGAAAGAATACAAAATTCCAAATAGAACTCATTATGGAGTTCTCTTTCTGGTCTCTCAATGTTCAGTTTTGACAATGGTCAAACCTTAACACAATTTTGTTACACAACTTCATTCTTATTACAAGACAAGAAGTAACGAAGGCAAGAAATATGATGTCTCCAGCACTTCTTAAGGTCTTCCTCAACTAGGTAAATAATTGTTGGTTAGCGTATACACACAGATACAACTTATACAATAACAGATTCTTTAGAAAAGTTATAGTCAAGAGTCTAGTCAATAAACGAGTGTGAGGTTATGTGACACATTTGCTCTAAAAAAAAGTGTGCACACATACGCAAATGTTGTTCATCACCCTACATTTCTCCTATATTTTCTATCGTCTCTAGATTTTATACCTCTAGTATATCTCTGTAACTATTCACACTAGATTCATTTAACATTTTATACTCATATCATATTCTTTTTCATACCACTTCCCTTATTTAGCTAAAAGATTGTGCTTAGTATAACACTTTTGGACTAAGTTCACATCACTTATAATATCATGATATATTTCCAGTCATTAAGTTTAAACTAGTATCATCAACCTTTTATCACAATCACATAATTCTCAACTATTATATAACATTTACTCATCATACTTTTCAGCTAAATTCTCATATACACATCTTGATATATAGGCCAAACATCTCAAATTAACAAGCGCAATATCATACTTTATCATAACATCTCTACACTTGGTTCTTACAGCATATTGCATATAACACAACATGATAACTCAAATCAATCAATCAAACACATATATCATTAATTTTCATCACAAGTACTATTATTAAAACATATATTTTCATATAATAATTATGTAATAATACTCCCACAAGCACAAAATATACACTTTAATAAAATGACAAAATAGAATTCTCCTTACCTCGAGATGAATATTCAGAGAGAGATTAATGAAAATTCTTACTCAGTAATAAATGTTTTCTTAAATATCATGAGATACCCTTAAGAAATGAAAAACAAGATAAACGAACGCAAAGAAACTTACTTGGAGTCGTTTAGATTTAACGACTAAGTTCATATTAAAAGAACAATCAGAGTTTGGATGAGGTTTTTTTTAAGAAAAGAAAGTGAGAGTTCACAGAGAGTTGAGAAAGAATGTAGGGTATGAAAATGAAATGAATTTTCTATGCTAGAAATCTTTTAAATACCCATCAGCTCTATGCACTCTTACTTGAGCACAGAACTCTCACGTAAGCAAGATTACTCTCGCTTATGCAAGCCCTGTCTCGTTTGGACCAAAAAATCAGACAATAGTTTTTTCAAGCATTTTTTGATATTCTTACTTCGTTGAGGGGTTACTTTAATGCATTTCCTATTCACTGTGCATGTCATTGTGGTCATGATTTTGGGTGTTAGTGTGTTTGGAGTGTTAGTGGGTAACTAGAGCATGAGACAAAGGGAGGCAAGGAGGCCATTGCTTGTTGAACTCAAATCCATGAGCCATGGGATGCGTGCTCTTCCTTAGTTAGAGATGGAGTGAAATGTGAATAGTTTTTAGCATACAAGTTGTCGTCTAGGAGTAGGCGATGACATATGCATGTTGGCCCCTTTTGTTAGGGTATAATCAATTTTTAAATCATGTTATTTTTAAGTTATTATCCATACTTGTTCTATGAAAATGACAATGCAGAGTTGTAAGACTTTGCAAATACTTTAGAAGATGAAGGAAGGATATGACATATATGACCCTTTAAGGATACAATGCTACTTAAGCAAGTGAATAATTAAATGTATAAAACTATACAATCAATAGGTCTTCTAAAAAATATATAATCTAAACAACACAATTCTCTATACGTTTCCAACAACGAAATTTCAATAATATGACCAAAACTATATCCAAACTTAAATATTCTTCCATGCATTTTTCTGCCCATAACCAAGTCACCAACATTAGAAGTAGTTCTCAAAATATAAGGGTATGCAAAAGGAGAAGAAGTGTGGTGGGTGCGAGCCAAGCTCTTCAACTCACAAACTATGCAACACACCTTCACCTCGACTTTACCCTCACCCCTTCATCTATAATTCCCTTTTGATTGCCTTGATGTAACGTTGATTCTAAAATTGTTGTTTATAGTCACTTGTTGGTTGCCTTTAGAAAAACTCACATGAAAGTTGAATTCAAATAATTGTTTATTAGGAAGAAGAAAAACCTTTGACACATGAGATTATAATATCTTTGTGTTTAGTTGTTGGGTAATTTGACTATTTCCTTAACCCTTTACAAAGAGATGAAAGATAAAGATTTGTTTGCCTCCAATTTATTCATCTATAACACCCTCATCACTATGCTTTGCAAGCATGACAAGGTGGAAAAATTATCACCCAAACACTCATTATATTTTTCAAAATTAGGATTTCAAGAAAGAAAAAATACGAAAGAGAAAGGGGATAGATTTCAAAACATTTTATATAAATATTTAAAATATATTCATAGACTAATTTGTAAATATTAATTTTAAATAATAAAATATTAAAAATTAAATAATTAATATAAATAAATTATTTATCTGTCAACCAACTCAACACTTAACAAAAAGGAGAATAACAAAAGAAATTAAATTTTAACATCTTAATATTTTAAATATTAAATACTAAAAAAATTTATAAATATTTATCACAAATGACTTAATTTATAAAGATTAATAACATGTCTTTAAATCAAAATATATTTATAAATATTTATAATATAATTAATTTTAAATATCAAATATAAGTTGAGGAATACACAACTTTATATCACACTTACATGTTAAAAACAATTGCAAAATTATTCCCTGCGTGTTAAAATTTCAATGTTACCCGCTTTTGTTATTTTTCTCTTAACGTTCTTATACATTTTTTTTTTCAATTAAATGAAGAAGGAAAAAATAAATAATAAATTTTTTTCTTGTACGTGAACAATGAAGAATGACAAGAAGAAAGCAAATAACTAAATTTAAATATTTTAAATACAGTTTACATGATAAAATTACATTTTTATTAGTGAGCATATTTGATAATTTGTTTTTTAATTTTCCTTTTTTCTCAATGAAAAATATTATCCTATTTTTTTTTTCAATTGAATATAAAAATTAAAATAGACTTTAAAACTGGTATGTGAATACATATTTCATCATTTTTATTGTAAAAGAAAGACAACACCATTTTATTTAGAAGAAATAGCTAAATAGGATCAATTATACCATCTATTTTAGTTAGGGGTATAATGATTTAGTTTGGTGTAGTTTTTATTAAAAAATAATCTAAAATGAATGTGAAAATAATAATAGTTTTGATTAAATCGAGTTTCACAGTAATATAAAAAAAAAATTCAAACAAGCACAATTTTTAAAATATATTTTTTGTAATTGTATTTATATTTAAACATTTTTATTTTAAATTTTATTAGTTTCTTAAACTAGAAATTAATTCAAAGATAAAAGCGAGATTTTTGAACAAAATAAAAAAAAGAGACATTACTTAAAAGAATAAATTTTTGAAAAAATAATGAACTTCTAAATAGAAAAACAAATCATCTGAGAGAAGTAAAAACCAGTAATAAATAACAATAATAGCCTATATATTTACGTAATGTTACGGTAAAATATATGAAAAAATAATATTATTATAGAAATTCAATAAAAAATAATATAAATATATTATAAATACAGTTGAATTTAGTTCGATTCAATTTTAAAAGTAAGAATTGAAAATTGAATAAAATATAAACATACTTTTAAAATTTAAAATATTTTAATCGGTTGAAAGATTTGAACACCCCTACTTTTGGCATAAGGGAATAAAAGTAATAAATATGAATAATATAATTTATTTATCTTTTTCTGAAGTTTTATTTTCGTGAACGGGTTCTCTTTCTTTTACATCTTTCTTGGGTGTCGTTCTCTAACCCAGTGGGGGTATCATGACTGAGGTACTTTATACGATATTGGTGGCCGTATAGCAACGGGGAGCGTAGCGAAGATAAGAATGAAGGAGATGTGAACACGTGGAGTATTCTGCTTATAATCGGATGCAAACCTATTTATATTCCACCCTTTATTCTCTGTTTCTGGTCCGCCCCTTCCCCATCTCATCTCATCGCATCTCATCTTCGCTATTCGCTTTCTCCGTGTCCGCCTCAGCTTTCACTCCAAAGCCTCCCAAACCCTAACCAACCAACTAACCCCCTTTCAATCTCAATCTTTCTCTCTCTCTCTCTCTCTCTCACTCTCACTCTCACTCAACCGTTTCTTCTCAATCGGATTATCCACTTTGGAAGAAATTCTTCCGCGATGGCGGCTTCCACCACCAGCCAGGTCTATATTCAGGTAATCGACGATGTCATCAACAAGGTTCGCGAGGAGTTCGTCAACAACGCTGGTCCTGGCGAGGATGTTCTCAAGGAGCTTCAAGCTGTATTATCTCTTCATTCCGATTTGTTTTAATTTTTTTTTTTAATTTCGCGGTGTTGTTTTGACATGGAGGTGTTTTTCTTTCCCAAATGTACGTTAATTAATGGTTTTGTAGTTAATTTCACGTTGTGCGGTGATTTGGTTTGGAAGAAATGTTAATTGTTTTGATTTAGGGCTTCGATCTGAGCATTTACGCGCTTTCTGTTTGGTTTATGGATTTACTCAATTTATTCTTACTTGTTTTCTTGTTAATCATTTATTTAGATATGGGAATCGAAGATGATTCAAGCTGGTGCCATTCTTGGTCCCATTGAAAGGTCCAGCACAGCTAAGCCAACACCCGGTGGTCCAATTACTCCCGTTCATGATCTTAACGTGCCTTATGAGGGGACTGAGGAGTATGAAACTCCCACAGCAGAAATGCTTTTTCCTCCTGTGAGTTTAAGCCCAATATCATGAGTTTGTAAGTTATGTTTCCCTTTAGATGTGCTTTTATGAAATTGTTAACATGGGCTTTTGACTGTAACAGACGCCATTGCAAACTCCTCTTCAAACTCCTTTGCCAGGAACTGCGGATAACTCCATGTATAATATTCCTACTGGTCCTAGTGACTATTCTTCTTCTGGAAATGATTCTGGAGGAAATAATGAGATCAAAGGTGGAAGACCTGGTCCATACATGGTAAAGATCATTTTGTGACTCCCAAAATAACTGTTTACTGGTTTATATTTGATCTCTCTTTCATTTTTTTTTCATAATAGATTAAATAGCTGTCTGGCACAGTGTATAAACTCTTTACCTAAAACCATGTGCATGGTTCTACTTCTTTTATTTGTTTCCTTTAACATTGCATGTGTCATTTACCTTGTCCATACAATCTTCTACAGCAACCTTCTTCTCCCTGGACAAACCCAAGGGCTCCGCTTGATGTTAATGTTGGTGAGTCCCGTTTGACTTTAGAACATAGTTTTAAATAATATTGCTTCACGGTAATGACTCTGCGTTTCCCTTTAGCTTATGTGGAAGGGCGGGATGAGGCGGACAGAGGAACTTCTAATCAACCTTTGACACAGGTAAGCAGCTTGGTGAGGTCTTTTAGAAAACATGGTTGAGTTTCTTTTGTGAAGTCAGAGAATGTTATTCCTTTCTTGGAACAGTTTATCAGTTTTTTTTTTTATCTTGAATTGACCTGAAAGAGAGAACACAGAATCCATATAACATTGAGGTATTATTGATGCTTGGAAAAACATGCAGGACTTCTTCACAATGTCCTCTGGGAAAAGAAAACGTGATGAATTTGCTTCACAATATAATGCTGGTGGATATATACCTCAGCAAGATGGAGCTGGAGATACTGCTTCTCAAATTTTTGAGATTGAAGTATGGTCTTTCTTCATTTTGTCATCAAATTAATATTTGTTCGATTTATGTCAGCCTGGTGCTTGCATAGTGTTTGGATTAGTTTTATAATGATGTCAATAATAAAATATATTCATCTGTGTCCTAATTTGTTTTTGTCGTAAATGAGCTTGTGGTGTATTACTGAAGGAATGATATAGTGAGATCCTGGCTTTATAACATTTATTTCATCTCTGTTCTGTTGGATGCCCTTTTGTCTTACCTTCGAGTAGTACCATGTCTGCATCTCTGGCGGCCAAAATGCTTAACTTCTTGCAGGGTAGTCTGAGGTCATTGCTGACATTTGCATGGAACTTGAACAGCATGGGAATATTTCTAAATAGGATCATATGATGTTTGCAGACAAGTTTGAATAACACAGGTTCTCTGTCAACAAAAAATAGGCTTGAACTTAAAGGTTCTTACAATGTCTAAATGTTGTCAAAACTCATACATCAAAGAGTATTTGGGTTATTATATGCAAAGAACAGGCTGTCATAAGGTTTGAAGTGGTGGGGTTGGGAGAGGATGGGGACATGGGAGATGGCAGACAGTGAAAAGAAAGTCATGCCATCTCTGAAGTTAGGCTGTCGTAAGATTTTTTTATTTTTTTTTTCATAAAAAAGGGCAAGTTAATGCAGAAATCTCTGAAGTTCATTTTAACACAATGGTGTGGCAGTTTACTGTGTGTACAAATGGATAATGATTTGTATAACTACATCAATACTACAAGACTTCACTAAGATGGAAGAAAATCGTCACTCAATTTTTCGGCTCATCTCCATCAATTTGTTCTCACCAAATGCCTGTTGTTCTTGAGTTAATTTGTTGGATGCTAAATGCAGTTCAATTGTGTGTTCTTTTATTCTCATCTTCACATGTCTGAGCATATTAGAGATTGACCAGTAGATTGAGGTTTTTGTTATTCTGTTGTCTCTGAGTGCTGAATAGATTGTGTTGTTTTTAATCATTAAATTTGCCCCATTCAAGATTGAGATTTGAAGATTGTAGACAGAAGTTGACCTATTAGTTCACCAGATGCCACTGTGTCATATGTTCTCTTGTCAATGAAATCATGTATTGGCAATAAGGGAAGATGAGACTGCTAGAATTGAATGATTACAATTTACACAGTCAAGGGATTGTGATGAAGCTAAAGCACCTAATCAAAGATTGTGTTGTTTTTAATCATTAAGTTTGCCCCAATCAAGATTGAGATTTGAAGATTGTAGGCAGAAGTTGACCTATTAATTCACCAGATGCCACTTTGTCATATGTTCTCTTGTCAATGAAATCATGTACTGGGAATAAGGGAAGATGATTGATTAGGTGCTTTAACTTCATCACAATCCCTTGACTGTGTAAATTGTAATCATTCAATTCTAGCAGTCTCATCTTATCTCAATATATATTAAATCTGTACAACTTTGGGCACATGTCAATCATAGTAGTCAATAGCAGCCGCTATCACAGCATAGTGGAGTGGCTCCCTACCATTATTCCAAGTGCATAGCGTTGCAGTTCAGTATAGCAGCTAATGTGACATGAATCTCAGCTGTTGTGGCTGGTATTTGATGCATGACAGAAATGTTAAAATTTATCCTTGTTTTCTTAACATTAGAAGGCTTTTAGGAGGGGAGCAATTTTGACATTTTGCTCCCCCTTTACATTGTCAATTTCTACATGTCATTGTATCGGTCAAACTCAGTATTAAATCCTAAGTGCTCTCATTCACCATCTTTGACAACCTCTGCTTCGTCCAATAAGCTTCAGCATAGCCGACATTATTTTTTGGCCAAGTTCCGATTATCTTTGTCATTTCCGGTGAGACTTGCCCATTTATGATGTGACTCATTTGTGTTAGAGGCTACTTTCCAACTAAAATCTGAGTCTGTTGACTATATCCAGCCAAGTTATAGTCATCTTCATTTCCAATAAGGTCCGTACACTTTCCGGCGAGCGTATCTGCATCAGGGTTTTTTTTTTACAGCGAGACTACTCTGTTTTTTCTATTTTTCTTCTCTGTTCTATTCTGACTTTTTATAGCTTCCAAATGATTGAAATTTGACATCTTTAGCATATATTTGTGTAGCATAATCTATATTTAGTGCATTTTAAATTTTTAGAATAGCGGTTATCCCGCTATCCACTATTTTGCTATAATGTTTTTGGAGTCAATCACTTTGTGCTGCTATCCGAGATTGAATGCTATGATGTCAATTGCTTAGGTGACTTTTTCCCACCATCTGCTGTTTTTTACTTCCCCTGGAATGGATTATGTTTGGCCCTCTGTTTTGATTTCATTTTCCCATGTTGCAAGCATGGGGGATACTGATCTGGTTAAAAGATAATTATTTTCCTCAGTTGGGCCTTTAAACTTTTAATGAATTTAAGATACTTTGTTCCAGGAAACTTTGTCACTTTTAATGATTTTACTGATCTGTCAGAATTTTTTAGCGCCATTGCTTTTTTAATCATCTGTTGGATGAATAGCTTTCATTTGACGATATATCTGATAGCTCTTGTCTACTGTTGTAAACACACTTCCCATTAGTCACTGATCTGCAGCACGAATATTTGATCAGGTGGCTATTGAAAAGTATAGATCACTTGCTTCTTTTACTACCCATTATTGTACATTGTTCTTTTTGGGGTCCTGCTGTACACGTGTGCATGCATTTATTTGTCTGTGAATTTGTTGGGTGCTTGGTTGATCGAAAGGTTTATTCAATCTATGAACTGTATTAATATAAATCTTTCAGGTGTATGGAGCTGGCATCTCCATTAATGCAGATTACTCTACTTCTAAAGGAAAAATGGCAGCACATTTGGAAAAGCCAGCTTCTCGGATTCCTCAACTTGATGGACCAATCCCTTATGATGATGATGTGCTTTCTACTCCAAATGTGAGTAGTGGATTTTTTTCTTTCTTCCTGTACTTAAGATTGTATCGAGATATTTTTCATTTTGTACCTTACCATGATATATCATATGCTTTTGTTTCCCTCATTCTTTCTGTTTCTGGTTTCTTTTCCTCCATTTTTTTCAGGTAAATGTGTATTCAACCTTTCAATGTTGGATTTCTAGTACATAGACACCTCAGCTTTCAATTTTGACAATTACTAATCCCCTGGAATTTTGATAAACGTTTTGATAGCCGTCCTTTTCTTCTCTTATATGTCAATATTTATATAAATTCAAGACAACCCACTCTGACCCTAAACACTTTCAGCTACAACTGCTTTCCATTGCTTGCTTATTTCAAAATATTCATCTTACAATCCAAATTTTTTTAACCCCTTAACTATTTTAAATTTTAGTCAAAGGAGCTTAATTGCCAAATTTAAAAGTTAAGGGGTATATTTTCTGAAGCAAAAAAGTTGAACGATTATGTGCATTGTTCTTAATTTTTTAGTAGATTTTTTGTGTGTTTAAGTTATATTTGCACTAGATAATTTTACAAATGGTTGAAGTGATGGCTTGATATTCTACTTTTACATGAGATCCTACAACCACACTCTTATTGTTCTTTCTGGGAAATCAAATTTTCCCACAACTCGAGCATGACCTTTGTCTTTATTCAAGTGACTTCTAATTTATTTAAACACCTCCTCCCCCCCCCCCCCCCCCCCCCAACACTGCAACACAAAAACAATTGGATATTCAATTTAATCTTTTAGGGTTTTAATTGCAATAGTGCTTCATTTGATAGTTTTCTCACACCATGTCTTGCATTCCAATCATACCATTTTATTTTTCTTGTTTGCAGATATACAATTATGGAGTGTTCAACGAAGACTACAACATTGCAAATACACCAGCTCCTTCTGGTAAATTGAGAGTGCAAATATACAATTATGTTTATGGTTCTCGTACATATCTACATCAAATGTTTCTGATGCATATTTTCACTTTATTTATTAGAAGTACCAGCAAGTACCCCTGCTCCCGTTGCTCAAAACGAGGTTGATGAAGAAGATGATGATGATGAGCCTCCCCTAAATGAAAATGATGATGATGATTTGGATGATTTGGATGATCAGGGAGAGGATCAAAATACCCAACATCTTGTTTTGGCCCAGTTTGACAAGGTACCAACCTCGCTCTTCTACTGTCCGTAGCTTAGATGTCAAGTGCTATAACAATGTGATATAGCCATATATTTATGGTTCAAGTTCGGGGAATCAACCATTTTGAGACTAATGGTTGTCTTGCAACAAATTTAGGTGACGCGTACCAAAAGTAGATGGAAGTGCACACTGAAGGATGGTATTATGCACATAAATAATAAGGACATTCTCTTCAATAAGGTTTGTTAGTCGTGAAGGAGAACAATGCTATGTACTTATTCATTCAGTTCAGCTTATCAAATTGTAATGATGGCTGAAACTTTGCTCTTCTGCAGGCAACTGGAGAATTTGACTTCTGATTTTGTCATGGATTGGTCTGCCATATAGTAGCAGTGCTTTGGTGAAGTATATGTCACAGGTGCCATTGAGTATTTCGTAATCTTTCTTTGATTATAATTATTAATTAAAGCTGGAGGAAGAGAAGTTCTTAATACTTTCGCCACTGTTATATTAATGTTGGCCTGTTGTACATAAAGGATGAGCAAATTTTGGCCTTTTGATGGATAGGTACTCTTGAGGCATTTCCTACAGTTTGTCATTTGTCAAGTGGGATATGTAGTCTATTAGCTCTGTATGCTTGGACGTTTTGTTTTCCATCTGAGATCGTATGATACTTAAACTGCCGTAGTTCTCGTGGTTAATTTTTTAGCCCTCGTATAGAATGGCATTTAGTGTGCTTTTCTTGGTTCCAACATGATTTCTGAAACCTTAACCAAAAAGAAAGAGAATATGAAAATTGAGAATTATTATATTTTCACACCTACTTTTTTTCTTACATCTATATGATATTTCTTTTCATTTTTATTTTTTCATATTATTTATTAATTTACTTTTACCTTTTCCTGCCTTTTTTTTCCCTTATATTTTTCATTTCTTCACTTATTTTGAATCCATTTAACGGCTGGCTAATGATTATTTTCCTTGAGAATTTATTTTCTCTCACGGTAACGGTGGTAATTTCTTGCACGTGTTTTAACTGGAATAATGGATTGCTTTTATTTAATTAATTAATTTTTTGTTGGACGGTGCAAAATCTAAAATTCAATGGAGGGATACTTGTTAAATGGCGGGGAATATGAACTCTCGTTACATCTTAATATTCCCAAAAGATGTACTGATCAAGAAATGTTTAGTAATATTTTTAATGTTTGTATAGATATTTTTAAATTTTTGTAAATTTAAGAGAGTAAATATTATAAAACTTAATAGTTATTATTTTATTATATTAAATAAAAATAAACATAAAGTATAAAAATTAAAAGGTTAAATTAATATTAATTAAAAAATGCATAATATAGAAAATAATAATTGGTATGATGAAAAAACACTCCATTTTTGTTTTAATAAAATTCCTAAAAATTGTTCTCATTTTAAAAATTATTACTCATAATTTATTTATAGAGATTTAATCGTTTATTTTAAATTAAAATCTAAAAACTGAATTGATTTGTCTCTGGCCATTTAAATGCATGTTTCTATAGCTTTTTTTTTTTTTTTACCATATAAACATAACGAAATGTAGCCTTTGACATAATCTATATTCTATGTATAGACTAAAATAAAGTTTTTCATCGTGTCATAATTGTAAAATTGATTCTTAAATCTGACTATTAATTTATTTATTTTCTCACACTTGTTTCTTTTTCCAAGTATAACATATAGAATTCAACTAACATTTATAAATATATAATTTTAAAATATTACTATATCACTATGATATTATAAAATTAATGATAAACGAACACGATAAAATATGTAATTATAATTTAATAATTAATTTTTATACAATAAAATAAATCATTTTGTTATATTAATAGAAAATATCTATGTATAATTGTATTATTATAATATTATAATAGCAATATAATATAAAAAATTATAAAGTATTTAATTTTTATAATATGATTATTAATACCTTTGTGGTAACATAATAAAATAATTTATTAAATTAATAGTCAAAAAATATTTTGTTATAATTTTTAATTAAAGACTAGAAAACATTATAAAATGTATTTTTATAGTTTTATCAACAACTGATCAATTATTATTTTATTTTAGTATAAATTTATAACACGTATCATTACTTAATTATATATATATATATATATATATATATATTATCATAATAAAAAATATATAATATTTCAAATATGTACTTATAATAAAATAATTAACATTTTTGCTATAATACAACAAAGAAATATTAAATTAATGATCTAAATAATATTTTATTTTTAATACATAATAGTTTTCTTATTATTATTTTTAATTATACAGTTTTTCATAAAAAATGAGAAACTTTTTTAACTAAAAGGTTTTCTTAAGCTGATTTTGTGATTACAGTATACCTTTTTTTTTTTTTCAGAATTTTATTTATATTTGAAAACATTTAATTTAATTTTGTATAGTTTTTGTTATATATAATAATTATTAGAATTTTATTGATGGTTGTTATTATCTTAAAATATAACATATTTTATATCTATAATATCTAATCATGCTGAGATATTTTTCTTCCTTATTTCTAGAAAAATATAATGGGTTTTACAAAATAAAAAATATATCTTAAAATAATTTTAATTTATGATAATAAATATTGATTGTAATAAAAGTGAATTAAATTAATATTTATGGAAAAGTATATTTATTTGTCAATATTGCAAATTTTTTCTTTAAATTTTTTTTACTAAAATAGTAATATTTTATATTATAATTAAGTGCAGAATTTACGACAGTACTATAACTATTTAAAATAAAAGATTTATTATATTATAATAAAAATATAATATAATATAATCTTTTAGATACTTTATTTTTTTTAACTTCGTATAATATGTTTAGTATATTTTGTACAATAAAATCAATCTCACTATACAATGAGTAAATAATTTTTAAGTGAAAATATCTTAATTATAATTACTAATAAAACATAAATTTTATTTTTATATAAATTTGCCCTATTTATTATTATTAATAAAATTAATTTATCACCATAATTGTGAGAAAGAAAACTAGCAGAAACAGCTAGACTATCGTAGAGAATTACAACGTAATTCATGTTTGGCTTCTCGATTTTCTTCGCTTTTAGGATACAACCGTTCCAATTCAATAACGACTTTTCAACGTCCTATCAATGGGAACAGTATTTTTTTAATTAAAAATCACATAGTATTATTAAATTCAATGAATATACTAATAAAAATTTATCATTTGTTAATTTCTTACCATAACTTTAAAAAACCGGATTCCATAATTATTAGACAATATCTTGCGTAATCTGATCGTGCTCCATACATCACACACGAGGGAGAATTTACTTCTCAGGATTTTGCAAACAGATAACAAAAAACATTAAACTTTGCAAAGATGATTCCACATTCCTGATTCCGGGCACACTTCATATATGGTTCATTAATAGACACAACCACACATACAGTGTTTCAGTGTTTATTGTTCTTGCTGCCTTGAATGGCATCAACTATTCTGTTCAATTTCAGGCTCTCTCAGTTTAACACACTGCACCATCAACGGGTAAAGAGACCAAAAGCTCTTGTATCCTCCTCTCGTATCATTCCACGTCATGTTTCTTCCATTAACGATCATTTGGGGCTAAAACATGTCACATACCCGCTTCTTCAATCTCACTCTACCCCTAAGCGCAGATTCCACGTGAGGACCCCCAAAACGAAGAATTCAGCTAAGTTTGATGCTTTTAGTCTAATTTGGCCTTTTCATCTTCTGGGCAGGTTGGAGCGCAGAAGGAGAATTATGCAGGGGAAGGCTCTGAATCTCTTGTTTCTGACGCAACGTACCAAGAGAAATTTTCTTGGTCTTCTGTAATTCTTCCGTACGTTTCTGTCACTATTCATTGGTTCTAAGGCAGGGTTGGGTAGAAGAAGTAAATAGAAGAAGAGTGATGTGTTGGAGGGAAATGTTAAAATTTGTAACTGTATCAATGTTGGGACTGTATTTGCTCTTGCGGCGTAGGCACTGAAAAGTAAAAAGTACTTTTTGCATGAGATCAAAACTCCGATTAGTTAAGTGAAAAAGGTAAAGGGTTCTGTTTGACAGACAAAAACATTGTTATTTGGAACTTTAAAATTTGCTTCTAGAGTGAGACAGGACCGGCTAATATGTAGGGCATTATACCTTTTTAATTGTGCAAAAGTTACCTTCTTTCATTGTCTCAAGAACATCAAATATCAATCTTTTTTCAGTTTAATAATCAAGCTTTGCTAATTTTTAAATATATAATCTGCTGATTTACTTGTTCCGGTTAATCTGTAATATTATTTCAAAATCTAGGTTTCTGTTCCCTGCGTTGGGTGGCTTGTTATTTGGTTATGATATTGGTGCCACCTCCGGTGCTACAATTTCACTGCAGGTAAAATTATTATTAAATGTCTTTCGATTACATATTGTTCTATTATTATTGTTAGCAGTAACATAAATAATTGATTTTTCATATTGTTTATTTGAATTTACAGTCTCCTGAGCTTAGTGGTATAACATGGTTCAATCTTTCTGCCATTCAGCTGGGACTTGTGGTATGATTTCAGTGTCATAGTTGGGAAACTTCTTTCAATTTTATGGAAAAGTTATTGTCATCAGTAAATTAGAATCTAACTGATAGCATCAAACATAGGTTAGTGGTTCCCTATATGGGGCTCTTCTTGGCTCACTTCTCGCATATGCCATAGCTGATTTCCTGGGTAAGTGCACTTAGTTTATCCAGCAACTGAAGCTCTCTTAAGATCGTTTCTTATTAAATCTATTAAGTTGGCCAAAACACTAGGGAGGAAGCGACAACTCATTGCTGCAGCCTTGTTGTATGTATTCGGCGGTGCAATTACTGCCTATGCACCAGAACTTGGTGTTCTCTTAGCAGGAAGGCTGCTTTATGGACTTGGTATAGGTTTGGTAGGCCTCTTTCAACTGTAACATTTTTTCGCAATTTATATTATTCTTGCATCTAACATGCAAATTGAATTGCAGGCCATGCACGGGGCTCCTTTATATATCGCAGAAACTTGTCCATCACAAATCCGTGGGACTCTAGTATCATTGAAAGAACTCTTCATTGTCCTTGGGATTCTGGTATTAAATTGTCTTTTATGTATCTTTTATCAACTAAAGAATTTACTGAGGATTGATTGACCTTTTATGTTATGCAGCTGGGTTATTTTGTGGGAAGCTTTCAGATTAATACAGTAGGGGGGTGGCGGTTTATGTATGGAATTAGTGCTCCACTTGCTATATTAATGGTGCTTGGAATGTGGATTCTCCCCCCTTCTCCACGGTGGTTGCTTCTCAGAGCAGTGCAAGGAAAAGGTTCTTTTCGAGATTTAAAGGAAAAAGCAATTGTTTCCCTGAGCAAATTAAGGGGCCGACCACCAGGTGGCAAAGAATCTGAGAGGCAAATAGAAGAGACCCTTCTCTCATTGAAGTCTGCCTATTCAGATCAGGAATCAGAGGGGAGTTTCTTAGAGGTGTTTCAGGGTCCCAATCTGAAAGCTTTCATAACCGGTGGGGGCCTAGTCTTATTTCAACAGGTAGGTCCACTTCAGTGCAATGAGTCTATTCATAATTTTCATAATTGTGTTTTTATATCTTGACTTTAATCATGTTATTTTGAAGGAAATATGGAGAATATTTTCTGTTTTTTGTCTGATTAGTCACTTTGTCACAATAGATAACAGGTCAACCAAGTGTTCTGTATTATGCTGGCTCAATTCTTCAGGTACTTAATCCTTATATTCATTTCTACTTTATTGTGACTGAAATTCAATCTTTTCCATCTTTCTCACTTCAGATTATATTCTGTTATTTATATCTAGAGTGCTGGATTCTCTGCTGCATCCGATGCTACTAAAGTGTCAGTTGTTATAGGCTTATTCAAGGTATAACTATTTAGACTTGTCCTTGCAACTTCCAAGGAAGAGCAACCACCACGTGACACTGATGATAATTTTTTTTGTGATTGATGAACCTGCAGTTACTAATGACATGGATTGCTGTCCTAAAAGTTGATGATTTAGGGAGAAGACCTCTGCTGATTGGAGGTGTCAGCGGCATTGTAAGAGTTCTATCACATTTTGAACTAACAGATTCTTACAGTACTTTGCTTCAACTTTTCATATGCACATGGTTATTTGGTTTTCTTTGATTTGTGTAGGCCCTTTCTTTAGTTCTCCTTTCTGCTTATTATAAATTTCTTGGAGGGTTCCCTCTTGTTGCTGTTGCGGCTTTACTTCTTTATGTTGGTTGCTATCAGGTAATTGTCTTCTGGTTTGTCATGGTCCTGCTGCTTTCTGTATCTTATTAAACCTGGGAATGAACATCTTTAGTATTTAATTAATTTTATCTTATACAATTTGGATACTAGAATGTAGATTGACATGATGTCATTCCGTGACCTGTATCTATGCTTTCAAAAAATGGAGAACCTTGCAACAAATAGAAATAATTCGTATTTAATGTTACCATTGTGTTGTCGTTGAGGCCAGTGCAATAATTGATTAGTGTTGGAATTTATATCAAATTGGGTTTGTGTGCAGATATCATTTGGGCCAATAAGTTGGCTAATGGTATCAGAGGTCTTCCCGCTTCGCACTAGAGGACGGGGGATTAGTCTGGCTGTTCTTACCAACTTTGCTTCAAATGCTGTTGTCACCTTTGCATTCTCTCCATTAAAGGTTTTGGGTTCTTTACTATCTTTTGTGTTTATATTTTCTTTTAGATAAATTTATCATTCTTTGTCTGACTTCCACTGCAGGAGCTTCTTGGAGCAGAAAACCTCTTTCTCCTTTTTGGGGCTATTTCTATTGTGTCACTTCTGTTCATTATATTTTCTGTCCCGGAGACAAAAGGCTTGAGTTTAGAAGATATAGAATCCCAAATCTTGAAGTGACAGCTTAAACTAGCACTTTTGATGTGAATGCTATATTTTGCTGAGTCTGTCACCTTGCATATATTTCCCTTGTTAGATTTGATGGTCATGGTAATGTTTGCACTTAAGACCATTGTATTTTTCGTCTCTAACCAATATACTCAAATCATACAAGGGTGCTGACTCGTGATTTTAACATTCATGATTCAATTCCCAAGAGGGTTGTCGTGCTAATGGAGAACCTATAACTGGGCACCAATTTTATTTGGACTTATTATGCTAATGTGCTACATCTATAGTTTCTAATGGTTCCGTTAGTACGGCGCACCACTTACCAATCCATAAATCTCCTTGTTACCTATGATTTTGCAGTTTTTAAACGTAGCCCCTACACTTGCCTGATACCTAATTCACCTAGCATGTATGAAGTCCTCACTAAATGCATGTCTGGTTCCACGTTTCTGTGGAATTAAATGTGTGCTTATCTTTTAACGTTCAATGTGCAAATCACAAATTATAATGCATAACCAAACACACTAAAAAATAACTAATCAAGTTTGGCAACAGAATTGCTGAGAGCATCGTCAAATATACAACACACAGTTTATTACATACAAATTAAATTTTACAAATATACGGAAATAATCTTTCCAGTCTACTTGTTGGATACATATACTCCAACAAAAAATCTTCACAAAAAATATATAAAGCACGTTTTATGGGGACGTCAATTTGCCTGAAGAATTCTGTCATGGTTTTCTTCCTGAACCACTGCATATAATTTGAAAGATGTGAAGAGATATAAGTTTGTCATAAAAAAGAATGATATCATACGATGAGATAGTAAATCATATCACATATCACCAATTGCATGAACAGTGAATAATAAATTAATAATCAATATGATGAACTAGTGCTTTTACCTTCTCGAGCGTTGGTAGATATTGGGATTTGAGTTGAAGTACTAGTAGCATTGGGAGATGCTGGGAGGATTTGAGATGACGTGGTAATAGAAGGAGTTGCATCTTCATATTTTGTTGGTTCCTCATTTCGAAGCAAGGAAGTAACAGCTTCTCTCACCTTCTCCATAACACCTGCATCACCAGGAGTTCTCTTAGGACTCATTGCTTCAGATATCACCTGAGATAGAGCTTTCTCATCTTCTCCTGGCTCCAACTTGTTCATCAAGTACTCTTTCACTGAAACACCCTTATCCCATATTTGCGCAGTGGGGCTTGGAGTCTTCCCACTCGGTGCAGCAGGAGATAAAGAAGATGCTGGAATCGCTGGAGCTGATGTAGTTCTCATTGTTCTTGGAGAAGTTTGGGCTGGTCCCTTTGCAGGAGGAGTACTTGGAGCAGGAAGGGACAAAGAAGCCTTGTTAATTGTTGTACTTGTAGGTGAAAGTTTTGATGGTGCAGTGTGATTATAATGATGATAATGATGATGGAGACGCTCTTTGGGTTTGGATACAGTGATGCCTTGTATTTTGGAGGTTACAGAGTTGGCTGCTTCTGACCCTTCAGCATAAACTGGTGTGAGTTTCTCGGCTATGTTTTTGGCCTTATTTGCACCAGAAACACTAGTAATAGTAGTTGGAATAGTTGTTGTTGTTGATACTGCTGCTGCATGTTGTGGTGTTTTCTTTGACAGTGAACGACTAAGTGTTTTTTCTTGATTTTGTTCCACTACGTGTTTGTCATTGCTTGATATAAAATGCTTCTCAGGGGTTGCTGGATTTCCTCTTGGATGATTCTGCTTTGGATTTTCTTTGTATCCTAAAGGTGCTTTCTCTGATTCGTACACTGAAATATTTATAATTTGACACCACAATTTTAGATGTTAAAAGAAGTGGAAGACAAGACTAATGTTTAAGGAAACTAGTGATTAAAATCTTTTGTCTGTATTACTCGGAGCTCCGAGGTAACCGGCAACATCTTCTTCTACTCCATCACCTTCTAAGCCTGCACCCGATGTGGGACTAGGAGAGTTCCCGTCCTCGTGTTTCTTCTTGCTGAGGCTGTGGCGTAATTTCTTGGCCTTCTCCTTCACTTTGGTGAGAACTGATTTCTTCTGATTCTGGCCGTGGTCTTCTTCTTGGTCATGGTGCTTCAACCTCTGAAAGAAGGGAGAGGATGAGGAAGGAGAGGAGGAGGAAGGGGAGCTGTGGGTTGGTGAATGCTTGGACTTGGAGGCTTCTCCTGCTGTATGTCAAAAATTCAAACATTTTTATAAATTCTACTCTTCCAACTACTAAAAATTAATAATTTATTTTTTACTTATATTTCTTTTTTTTATACATGTGTTTTTAAAATACACGCTAATATTGTGCATGGTTAAAGCATTGAGTGTGCCATTTTCTGAATAACTACTATCATAATCAAGCTTTGCCTAAAGGCATGATAGCAAAGGATTACCTCGGAGGAGTTGTTCCATGGTGTGGATGGTGGGAGCTTTTGTTGTTGTATCAACTTGTCTCTGAGGGCGTTCGAGTTGAGCCATTTTCTGAATCACAATTTGTCTCAAACTTTGAAATGAATGACTCTGCTTTTATATTTGTTCTTTCAGTGGACAATAAGAGGCAGAAATTCAACAAAAAAAATGAAGCGTGCTCATGCAATTGCTTCCGGTGTTCTTGCATTTGCAATGATCAAATCAAGAGCCCCATCCTACACCGTTGACTTCTACCTATGGACTCCTTTTCTACACGTGTAGACTAACAATTATGTTTGCTACTAAACCCCCCAAATATGAAATAGCTACACTCCTGAATTAGTAGTTTGACCAGGCCAGGGTGAAAATCTTTGTTCAACCTCATCAACTCAACAGTTTACATACCAGTTGAATATTTCAAATTCTGTCAAGAAAAATCAAACTCAAATGTCATATAAAAATAACAAATATAGGCGTAAAATAAATAAAGATTGATGTGGATTTATATGTACCTCAACATAATATGAAGTTACCCCAATATCATAATTGAAAAAACCTCATTGATGAAAGAACAATTTTATTACATATAAGAGGTTTAATCCGTGTGTATATATATATTGTATAACATTTTATAGAATAAAACATTTATGTATAATCAATTTTTATAAAAATATTATAACAATTAATGTAATTTAATGTATTCATATTATTTTAATAAAATTTATATAATTTCTTACCTTATACGATATTATATAAGTTAAAAATATTAGTAGCATAATTATTTTGTTATAATTTATTTAAATTTATAAAAATATAAATTAAAAGTAAAATTTATGCAATTTTTATAAATTTTAATTAATAATAAAGATTGTATTTTAAAAAGTGTTATTCATGTATTTCTATTTAAAGACATAAAAATTGAAAACCCCCTCTTGTCGTTATCTTTTCTTACTCATTCAGTGTAATTGCAACTTCCAGTTGCCATGTCAATGTCCTCTTCCATCCCTTCTTCGAATCGCTTCTCCACTACGCTATTAACCCCTCGTACTCGTTCCCCCAACCACCCCACGCGCCCTTCTTTTTACAAATACAACCTCTCTAACTGTAATTCTAACTCTTCTTCTCATCTCTCTCACTTCAAAACCCTCTCCACCACCCTCGCTGCCTCCATTATCTTCCATACTAACACCAATGCTCTCCACTTCCTCTTCCCCGATGGATCAACCGGAGGCGGCACCGGAGGAGGACCAGGAAACAGCTCCGGCGGCTTGCCGGCGAACATTGTGGTTCAGCAGAACAAACTGAGCGGCTTCAAGAAGTACAAGCTCTCGGAGATTCAATTCTACGATCGGAGCAGAAGAGCGAGATTCGGAACAGAGGATCCGTTGTTCGAGATGGTGTCTCTCCGTCCCGGAGGCATATACACGAAAGCGCAACTCCAGAAGGAACTAGAAACCCTGGCTTCGTGTGGAATGTTCGAGAAGGTTGATATGGAAGGGAAGACCAACGCTGACGGGTCAATGGCATTGACCATATCGTTCACGGAGAGCACGTTGCAGTCGGCGAAGTTCCGGTGCATCAACGTGGGATTGATGCAACAGACGAAGGCGATTGAGATGGACCCTGACATGACCGATAAGGAGAAGCTTGAGTACTATCGAATGCAAGAGAGGGATTACAAGAGGAGGATTGAGAGGGCTAGGCCTTGTCTTTTGCCTATGTCTGTGCATTCTGAGATTGGTGACATGCTTCGGAGACAGGGTGCTGTGAGTGCTAGGTTGTTGCAGAGGATAAGGGATCGGGTTCAGAAGTGGTATCATGATGAAGGATATGCTTGTGCACAAGTCGTTAATTTCGGGAATCTTAATACTCAGGAGGTTGTTTGTGAGGTTGTGGAAGGGGATATTACACAGTTGTCTATTCAGTTCTTGGATAAGCTCGGGAATGTTGTTGAAGGTAACACTCAAATCCCTGTTGTGCAGAGAGAACTTCCCAGACAGGTATGTGTATGAGGAGTGATTGCAATACGATTTGTGTGGAATGGTTGTGCTTTGTGTTTGATTTCTTTGGGACTTTTATGGTTTGGTGAATGGATGTTTGTTTGTGTTGGATTGGATTCACAGCTTCGGCCGGGTTATACTTTTAATATTGAAGCGGGGAAGCAGGCTTTGAGAAACATAAATTCCCTTGCGTTGTTTTCTAACATTGAGGTGAATCCTCGGCCTGATGAAAAGAATGAGGGGGGCATAATTGTTGAGATTAAGCTGAAAGAGTTGGATTAGAAAACGGCTGAAGTCAGTACCGAGTGGACGAGGAGGGCGTCCCACTTTGGTAGTTTTCTATTGAGTTGGATACCTGTATTGGTTGTCTGCCATGGAAATTTGTTTCCTAATTGATGAATTGCTTTCTGTTCAATGTTTGTGTAGGCTTCACTACAGCCGGGAGGGACTGTTAGTTTTGAACATCGGAATTTGCAAGGATTGAACAGATCTATCAATGGTTCGGTGACAATTAGTAATTTCCTCAATCCTCAGGTACTCCCACGCTAGTTGATTGAGTTCTTATCACTTTTTATTATAGGAATAGTTTAGTACGTCATCAATGTGGGTATGTATTTGATAAAATGCTCTTTGTGGGTTTCTGTAGGATGATCTTGCATTTAAGCTTGAGTATGCGCATCCGTATTTGGATGGTGTATATAATCCACGGAATCGTACTCTCCGTGTGAGCTGCTTCAATAGCCGAAAGCTCAGCCCAGTATTCACTGGGGGACCAGGGGTGGATGAAGTGCCCCCAATATGGGTTGATCGTGCTGGTGCAAAAGCCAATATCACAGAGGTCGTTTTACCACCAGTTTTTTTACACGATAAGTCTTGACTTGGCTGTCTGGGACGTCGGTAGGCTTTTTAGTTTTAATTTGTTTATCTTGCTTGCCAAGCAGAATTTCACACGTCAGAGTAAATTCACTTATGGATTAGTAATGGAAGAGATAACAACGCGTGACGAGAGTAATCATATATGTGCCAATGGTCAAAGAGTATTACCTAGTGGAGGAATTAGTGCAGATGGACCTCCAACCACCCTCAGTGGTACTGGTATCGATAGGATGGCATTTTTTCAGGCAAATATTACACGGGATAACACAGAGTTTGTGAATGGAGCTGTAATTGGAGACAGGAATGTGTTCCGGGTGACTATCTCATCTTACAATCATTTCCATTGATGTTGTCCCCATATTTGGAATATGCTCTTACCATCTTTAATTTGGTAAGTATTAAAGCTGGGAAAGAAAACAAAAGGGTGTGACAAGCAGGGGTGGAACCTTATTATATTATGGAGATACCTTAACCTGCTCAATATTTTCAAAAATCCTGTAGGTCCCATGTAATTTTCTATTTTAAATATGAATCTGCTTGTACAATTATTTTTACTTGGCCCTTCCAAGCTTCTGCTCTCAATTTTCTTAATCTACATCCTGACATAAAATTGAATTTTGCTAATGCTTTGTTCTTTTAATTGTAGCTACAGATTTAGATTTTAAATCAGCATTCCAACTTTTGTGGGCCGTTGAAATAATTGGCTGGAATTGCACCCAATTGTGAATATTTATGGGAAATGTTTAATCTTGTTTATCTAATTTAGGAACCGGTCAACATTGCTGTAACTTCGAGTACAAGAAATTGGCACTCTAAATATCTGATCTTGAAGTATGCTTTTTTTTATGTCTATGCTGACAGTTATCTCTATACAAACTGCAGGTAGATCAAGGCCTCGGCATTGGCAGCAAGTTCCCATTCTTTAATCGTCACCAGTTAACCGTGACACGATTTGTCCAGTTGAGGTCTGTGGAGGAAGGCGCTGGTAAACCACCACCACCAGTGCTTGTTCTCCATGGCCACTATGGTGGCTGTGTAGGTGACCTTCCAAGTTATGATTGTTTTACACTGGGTGGTCCCTATTCTGTAAGGGGTTACAACATGGGGGAGATTGGAGCCGCCAGGAACATCCTGGAGGTAAGAGATGGCTTTATGCATTTTATGCTTCTCTATGGAGATATAATTGCATTTTATACCTTTTCCAGAAACTGGAGAACAACTATCTGAACTCTTTTTCTTTTTGCAGCTGGCAGCCGAGTTACGTGTGCCCATTAAAGGCACACATGTATACGCGTTTGCAGAGCATGGAAATGATCTTGGAAGTTCAAAGAATGTCAAAGGGAATCCTACAGAAGTTTATAGGCGGATGGGTCATGGATCATCTTATGGTGTTGGTCTCAAGCTTGGTTTAGTGAGAGCAGAATATGCTGTTGATCATAACTCAGGAACAGGTGCAATATTTTTCCGTTTCGGAGAGAGATTTTGAGGTGCATTTTAGTCCGTAGTATATTGCTGAGTATGTGTTCTTCTCATTTGCTGAAGAAATCCTTCAGCCAGTTGTTGATGATACTGCAAGTGGTTTCATAGTGCCTTTGTTTATAAGTCGGATTGTGGAAATAGATTTTTAATCTCAAAATTGGTATAGGGTTCCATAAAATTTTAAGATGACAAAATTATCTTGCTGTCTTCTATTGATGTGTTTCTAATGTCTATGCGGCTTATGCTCAATGTCCACTCCCTGAGAACGAATGAGACCTAATAATTTTTTGTATACTTAGATAATTTTTTTTCTTATCAATATGATTGATGAATTATTAGAGATTAGAATTTTGATCAGTCTTTCAAATCCCGTAATTAAAAATTGCGCCAAATATTGAGCAATTCCTATCGCTAGGTAAGGAAAGGACTTGCTTTGCTTAAGCAATTCTTAACGTGTTGAAAGGACAACGAAACAATAAAAGAATGAGTGCCCACCGACAATTAATCTACCGAGATTTCTGTTTAATCTTAACGTGTCAGAAGACGAGAAAAGACTCAAAAGAATAAGCATTTCACTTTTTGGTAAAAAGAGTGAACCCGTAACGTTCCAATTGCAGATGAAGTCTTGCTACAAACAAATCGAAGTGTTTTAGCTGTTAGAGGTCGCCTCCAAACCCATGCATTGTTAAAAACACTGCAAGAAATTCCTATCACATGTCACTTTTTTATCATTTAATATAATGAGCTTACAATTTATATTGAAAATTTTCATTCTACTTACAGTTATAAAAAATCAGAAATTCATGATGAAGTGACATTGTTATAAACATTGCAAGAACAGAACATGGTTATCATAACACCGTGTGCTTTTATTATTCAACACTAACTGGTGATAGAGGTTTCTAGTATCTCCATTACTGCTATGCATGCTTTCCTCAGAAGCACAACATTGCTTAGAATTCCCACGAGAAATGGCATCATCATCAACCTTCGATTGTTCCGATCGGAATCCGAAAGCTATGCTGAACTCATCGATATATACGCTCGAGATCGAGCGTTTCACCTGGGTAAGAAGCTTCACGCGCGCCTAATCACCAGCGGATTTATTCGCTTCAACGTCATTACTTCCAACCTCGTATCCTTGTACGCGTGTTGTGGCCAACTCTACCACGCGCGGAAACTGTTCGACAGAATTCCAACGTCAAATGTTCGTCGCTGGATCGCCCTCATCGGCGCTAGCGCTCGCTGTGGCTTCTACGATCACGCTCTCGCCGTGTTCTCTGAGATGCAAACCATTCAAGGGCTTAAGCACAACTACGTTTTCGTCATCCCAAGCGTTCTCAAAGCTTGCGGCCATCTTGGTGATAGAATCACCGGAGATAAAATACATGGCTTGATTTTGAAATGTTCGTTCGAGCTTGATGCTTTTGTGTCCAGTGCTTTGATTGTTATGTACTCCAAGTGTAGGAGTGTTGAGGATGCACGCAAGGTGTTTGATGGGATGACTGTGAAAGATTTGGTTGCTCTGAATGCTGTTGTTGCTGGGTATGCTCAACAGGGTCTTGCAAATGAGGCACTGGGTTTGGTGCAAAGTATGGAATTGATGGGTGTGAAGCCAAATGTGGTAACTTGGAATTCTTTGATATCTGGGTTTTCACAGAAAGGTGACCAAGCAATGGTGTCTGAGATGTTTAGATTGATGATTGAAGATGGTGTTGAGCCTGATGTGGTATCATGGACTTCTGTTATATCTGGTTTTGTGCAGAACTTTCGAAATAAGGAAGCATTTGACACGTTTAAGCATATGTTGCGTCATGGGTTCTGCCCAACTTCAGCTACTATCAGCACCCTTTTGCCTGCTTGTGCTACTGCAGCAAGAGTGAGGGTTGGGAAGGAGATTCATGGGTATGCTTTGGTGAGTGGAGTGGAGGAAGATATTTTTGTAAGGAGTGCGCTGGTTGACATGTATGCAAAATGTGGCTTCATTTCTGAAGCGAGGACACTGTTTGGTAGGATGCCAGAGAAGAACACGGTTACGTGGAACTCGATCATTTTTGGTTTTGCAAATCATGGGTATTGTGAAGAAGCTGTTGAGCTCTTCAATCAGATGGAGATGCAAAGGGAAGCCAAGCTGGATCATTTGACTTTCACGGCAGCTCTCACTGCATGCAGTCATGTTGGAGATATTGAACTTGGGCAAAGGCTATTCAAGATCATGCAAGAAAAGTACAATATTGAGCCGAGACTGGAGCATTATGCGTGCATGGTGGATCTCTTTGGTCGAGCAGGGAAACTGGACGAAGCATATTGCATGATCAAGACAATGCCTATCGAACCTGATATGTTTGTATGGGGTGCATTTCTGGCTGCTTGTAGAAATCATGGGCATGTGGAGCTTGCGGAAGTGGCTGCTATGCATCTGTCTGAATTAGAGCCCGAGAGTGCTGCGAACCGTCTTCTGTTGTCCAGCCTATATGCCGATGCTGGTAAATGGGGCAAGGTTGAGAGGATCAAGAAAAGGATTAAGGGGGGAAAACTCAAAAAACTTCAAGGGTTGAGTTGGATTGATAATTGATAATATAATAGATTGGCAGAGATCATGTGTTTTGCTCAGCACAATTATACACTCGCAAAATATCTTCACCACTCTTCCACCTTTTTTTTTCTTCTTAATCTCTTTCTTTCTATTACATCGTATCACCTTTTGCATCTTTCACTTCACCACCCAACACCGTTTCGCATAGGTACACAATTAAACGGCTCAATCAGTGTAAGTTTGTTTTTAAACAATCCTCACATATGTCCGTCTAGACCAATTGTTAGATGGTCAGTCTGCAAACCCATTCGCATGTCTTTTTTAAATGTTTTTTTACTTTTCTTTTAATTTTTTTAATTTTCTTTTTTTCACTATTTTTAAATAATTAAAACATTAAAATTATTTTTAATGTTTAATTAAAATTATTATCTTTAAATGTTAACGAGTTAACCGGCAAACTTACGTGTTTAACCCATTGAAATAAAAAAATATACAGGGCACTTATTTTAGACTCAAGCTTATAAATTTGTGAGCTCTTGCGGGGTCAATCGCAAACCAAAACCTGGATATTCCACTCTAGTTTTGTTTCTTTAAAAAGAAGAGGATAACAAACTATTTTGGGGTATCGACAGAAAAAAAAAACTATTTTGGGCGTAAGTGCTCCTCATACGGCAACAATTCAAATGTTCTTTTAGGGTGCAGCTTTGGAAAAGAATATCTTGTCCATATAACCTACATCCTCTTTTGGATATTATAATGACCAGTAGAACAGACCGTTTAAAATGTGATGAAATGGAACGGAAATTGATAGAGTGCACTTCATTCAATTTAATCCAATATCTTTTTCTTTATTCCGTTCAATCATTCAGAACTAAATATTAATTATGTTTTCTCGTTTTAGACAATACAAATGTTAATAACATATTGTTGAAAAGGAATTTTTTAACATACTCTATATTATCTGATACAAAATTTATGGGTCATACTAAATTATACGGCTTTCACTTTTTATTTAATGATATTTACTACTTATTTAAAAATTCACATATATTTCACATGATAATAAAAAGTGACTAGAAATTTTGTTGCTTATATTCTTTTTCAAATAAACTCCGCCAAGATTGCTCAGGCAGCATATGGTGCAAGTTTTTCAATTGAATATCACACACTTGCCCCGAAGTGAATCAGCTCGGAGAAACTTTTGTTCTGACAACATACAACGAACAATTTGCTTCATTCCTCGCAAACTTTTATTTTCTAGCGAAAAGGACTTGTGGTCCATTTTTCATATTTAAAGAATTTATTGGGGAACCTAAACTTTACTCTCTAATTTCTCCAAGAAACCTAATCCACTAGAGGCATTTACGCCCCAGCGATCGATTCCACGACCCCCATTATTCTTTTTTATTATTATTTAAAGGAGAATGTTGGCATTGGGTGCCTTTTCTTTTAATCCATTCAGGTTTCCTTTAATTGACCTCCAACCAGCTCTCCTTGTGCTTTGAATCTTTTAGCTACTTTTTATCCTTTCATTTTAAAAATTCAATACGCAAAGCAGTACAAGGAAGGCACAAGCTTAAACAAGCCTTATCCACTAGATGAATGTGTTCAATAAGAGTACAAATAAGTACTACCGAAAGAAGTAAACTTACAAACTTTATAGATCGACCTTCCCCAAACTCCTATTTATTTTGATCAAAATATATTGTGCCTTCCCTTCGTTAGTGCATACTCTCTAAATCAAGTAAACCATAGAATGGTTGACGTCTGCCCGTTAACACAAAAAGACCACAAGTGCAGTTACTTTTCTTAAAGGTAAAGAGACAAGTGCATTGCGTCAGGAGTCAAACAAGAACTCTTAACGGTAGAGATGTGAGTGTGTTTGGGTGTCTGCGTGCGTTGTGCCTCTGTGTATGCAAAATAAAAATCCCGTTCTTCTCCCTCTGTAACGTTTCTTAGCATGAAAACCGATAGCATTCAGTTTAAGAAAATGGAAGCAAGAGCTTAAAGATATAGAAATACATTTGCCAGATCATGGGATAAATGTTTGCTGAATGCTGTTCAGTCTCTCTTTTATTCAATTTTGCAATGATTCTGAAAAAGAAGGTCAACACATCCAGTATTACACAATAGAATAGAATTATAATTTATGAATCAGAGAACTAGTTAAGAATTTACTTTAGGATCAGCTGTCTAAGCAGAGACCAAAAGAACTTTGACAGAGTTCTCGTCGTACAATTAGGTGACAGACTGACATGAATTAGAGATGCCTGCCAATAACTTTATACATCTGCCCAAAGGGTACATACTACTGATTCAGATTGTAATTTGGCTCCACAAAGTCTTCATATACTTGCTTTAAGAATCGGTTTGTATGATTTCCAGGGTGATACTCATGATCAATGCAGCTACTTCCCTTCTCGTCTTTTTAAAGTCATGACAAACAAATAAATCTTTGAATCTACAAAAGTGGCATCACACAGAAAATAAATTATAATTTTTACTGCCCAAACAATATGAATCTTTACGGCATTAAAAAAAAAATCAATTAGCGACAAGAACTTAAAATGTCGAAGAATCTGGGCAATCTTAGTATAAATTCAAATGAAGATATACATACCTAGCCTCTGAAAAGAAAACGAAAGTATCACAAGATGGTCCAATGAAAAATACTTTCTACATTAGACAGCATAAGAATACCGTCAAAAAACATTTTAAACAAAGACCAAAACTCATCTGAGCATCAAAGAAACACGCTCATTTCTCATCCTTCTTTTAACAAAATCAGCAAGCAATAGAGAAAACAGATTATTCTATTCGCTCCAAATCTAATTCAAATTCAAAAATAAAATAGAGTCCCCCATTGCCAGCTATTATTAAGTGTGGAAGCGAGGGAGGACTCTACTAAGAGCTCAAACCCTATGCAGTGTGCTGTGCTCAAAGAAAATATGACTTCAGTTCAAGACACATAACCATTAATTAACCTTTATAGCTGCAATTAAATCCAAATCAGAAGAAAAAGATGGTGATAGCTAATAGCTAACCTTGAGTGAGAAAAAAGCGGAAGATGAATTATTTATCATTAGGAGCAAGATGAGGCCAATCCCTTTGGTGCAACATGTTATAAGGATGGTAACCGGAAGTGGCGGAAGAAGTAGGCATGGGGATGGCCATGGGGCCATGGGCATGAGGCATGCCAAGAACAGGCATGGACATCATAGGAGGTGGATAAGGCATGGGAATGGGAACAGGAAGATGGCCATTGCCATGGGAATGAGCACTGGGAGTACCAGAGTCATGCAAACTCTGAGGCACAGGAGTCGAAGCGAATAACTGATCGGAGGAAGAAGGACCCTCGTTCGAGAGTCCCTGCATCCTCTTCAAGTATAGCCGATACTTCTGTAGGTGGCTAGCCACATTCTCTCGAGTCAACCCCTCCACGTTCATCAACTGCATAATCGTTTTAGGAACCGCGTTCTTGATCCCTAGGTGCGCCACCACGTCAACGAACCGCTTGTGCAGCTGCGGGGTCCACACCAACCTCGGCCGCTTCAGCGTCGTCCTGTCCGCCGAGTTCTCCGTGCGAACCGCCGAATCCGCCTCCTCCACGCAATCGATCTTCCGCTGTTTCCTGGAATCGGAGCCAGAACCGTCCCGATCCGTGTCGTCGTCGTCGTCTTCGTCGTAGACGTTGTTGTTGTTGGAGGAGAACGCCTGGTGCACGCTTCCACCGCCGCGGAGCGTGGAGAGGGTATTGCGTGAGGCACGGTTGACGTCGAAAAGTGTGCGGTGGGGCTCCGGCGAGATGCTGAAGGCGGTGGCTAGCTCCGGCGGAATCAGCGGCTGAGATAGAGGTGTGAGATCGTTGGCGGTGGGGAGACCCAACTCCCACTCCATCACGCGCTCTTCATCGTACTCGCTCGTCTTCACCTCTTCCCCCATTCAGTTACTTGTAAGGGCCAAAACAAATTAACCGTTTCTCTCTCCTCGCCCTCTGAGACTAACTGTTTGAGATACCTGAAACGGTTTCGTTATTGGATTCGGATCCGAACGGTGAAACGAAAAAAATGATGGATTGAACGAATGATGGATTGAATTGGATAGATAGAAGATTTTCGAGACGGAGAGTTCGAAATCGAAATCGCAATTCGTTGTTGTGTTGTGAAGATATTTCGTGCGATTCGGCGGTGTGTGTGCGCTTTGGCAACAGGGAAAGTGAGGGAAGAAGGAAGGAAGATAATAAATAAATAATAATAAAGATGAATGAAATAATGCTCCTAATTTATTTTCTGAATTATAATTTGGGGGAAATTGTGAAAAGGAGAGAAAAAGTGCAATATCTTATTCCAGATGGGCGTTGTTGTGGTGCCAACGTGGACGACTTAGCCAGATATTTTTGATCCTCTAAATATCTATCTTTCCCTTTTCAATATTGTTGTACACCGTCATCCATTTTTCACTATCTCGCTCGCTTCATATCAACCACACGTGCCTCCCCCTCGTGATGCCATTGCCACCATTTTTCATGTATAAATAAATATTCGTCATACTAATACTTAACCACTCATTAACAATACACTTATATTTAACTCTAATTTTAATTTAAGCTCGAAATTTAATTCAATTTTATTCTGAATATATTATTAAATCATTGCAATTATAATAATATAAATAAAATAATATTGTATTATTTTGCAATTTTTATCAATTTTTTAAAATAAAAATTATAAAATATTATTATATAACTTCTCGTTTAACATGTAATCTTAAATTTAAATTTAAGTAAATATAATCATATTAATAATCAAAGAAAGTTATTGTTTATAATAATTTATCTGTCTCAAACATAATTATTAAATCGTTCATATATTTTATCCTCAAGACTCATATAATATTAATTTTTAAATGCTTTAAGATTTAATACATATTTAGGTATTTAATTTAAAAATCACATTTTATATTTGAATAAACTTAAAAAACACAAAACTTATTTTAAATGTGCTTAAATATAATAAGAAATAAGTAGAAAAAAACGTAAATAATATTAATTATAAGTTATATATTTATAAATTATATATATATATATATATACACACACGTCAGAAATTAAAATTTTGTGTTTTTTCCTCCTCAAACCTTTTCTTCGTTGTAAATATAATTAAAGAAAGGGAAATGACGTAAGCTTACACGCATGCCACTATAGGATTATTAGAAATTCAACTAAAAATAAATTTGATAATGATATGATATCATGCTAAATAAATTAATTTCAACCGCTTAAAATGCTACTGGACACCCATTAGTGCATTTTCTGGTTTATTCTCAAACGCAACCGTGCGAAAAGTTACACCTCATTATCCTTAAGTAGCGTATTCGCGGGAATATTATTGTTCTAATATCATTTTTTTTATGTGTATTTATCAAATATTTTTTGTAGTTAATAAATTTATAAACTAAAAGAGCTTGTGAGAGATATATGAAGATAACTTGTATTTTTTTATAAGATTTTTTAATTTATATTGGTAAATTTATTAATATAATTTATCAAATAAAATGTTTAAAATAATCTTTAGATGTATCGAAAAGAGTAATTTTATTCTTTTTGTCGATAAGGTTGGACCTATCAAACAAGGCGTCCGTATATAGTGCACCTCAAATTAAAATTATTTTTTTTATTATTTGTTTGCTTCAACCATCCTTATAGAAAAAATACAAAGTTTTGAGTTTGGTAGCAAATTTGAAGATGTTAAGTCCTTTTAACTAATTAATGATTAAAATAATAAAATGAAATTATATTTAATATACTGAATATATTTTTTCTGAAGTTCAGAATGATATTTAAAGACTATAACAAAACTTATATTCCAAGTATTTTGAAGTACTTAAGGTAAGGTACATTTTAAAATTTACTTAATTTTATTTGTTAATTAATAATATTAAATATCCACGTTGTCAACCTATACTAATATTAAAACTTATATGAAAAAATGTTTATAACATTTAGTCTCTATATTTCAATAAATATTGTAGTTTTTAGTGCATAAAAGAAAAATAGAATCTAGATCTCTACCGTGTTGGTAGTAATTACTCTTTGATAATATACTTTTGCTTAAGCAAATTTAGTAAAAAAATAATCTTAGTTTAAGTCAAAAAATTTACTTAAGCTAAAATTGCAAAAAATTTTAAAATTTCATCTTTTCTTTTTTAAACTGTAGAAAAAATTAAGAAACATTTGTGTAAGATTATATAATCATACTTTATAATCATACAACAAAAATTTAAGCGTTTCAAAACATGTAATATCACAACTATCTCTCAACTAATTTCTCAAAGTTATCATTCCTATAATTCTTATTATTATTTTCAACAATTTAACTTAATTTTAAATAGTTCTACCTTGTTAATATTTAGAACAAGTAGCACACTAGATAATACATTTAAAAATATTTTGTAAAATAAAATATGTAATAGTCTTTGATAATTAAGTAGTTATTAATGAAAAATAAAATTTTTCCTAATTTTTTACAATTTAAAAATAAAAATAAAAATATAAATTTTTTTACAATTTTAGCTTAAGCAAATTTTTTTGTTTAAGTAAAAAATATTTTTTACTAAATTTACTTAAATAATTTTTTTTGACTAAAATAAAAATTACTTTTTATTAAATTTATTTAAATAAAACAAATTTTACTTAAAAAAAATATATGCTGCAAATTACAGTTCTTACTTGCAAAGAATATAAATCAAGAAAAATAATTATCGGAAGACGGTGTTTTAGTCCGCGGGAATGAGGCGGGGTTGTATGTGAACAATGTGACGTCAAAAAAGTAAAAAAGGTTTTTGGGCAAATGAGAATGCGAAAAGGCTCCAAAAGCCGAAAGGAAGAAAGTCGTTGAATAATGAATACAGCTCACAGCTGAAAGAGTGATCAAACGAACGGTGGTGATTGGTTTTGGTATTCAGAATCAGAACGCACTATTTTCTATGATAACTCATCACGCGGGGCTGAATCATAGGACGCCCATCCAATCACCGATCAGAGACTGGGACAAACTGCGCCGCTTTTTAAGTGCACACATTGTTAATATGTGCTCTTAGGAATTAAGATCAAGAAATAAAAATATTAAATATTTAAATATATAAATTTTATAATGATGATTAAATTATGTAAAACAGGGTGTTTATCCTTATTCTACTTAATTTGGAAAACTAAAATGAAATTATTATTTTAATATTATTTAATTTAATTTCATTTTAATAGACTTAATGATTCACTTGGACGTGGACCAAAAATAAAAATTAATAAATAAAAATTATTTAAATAAAAAAATAAAGAAAAGCAACAGAAAAACACAATTATTTTGAATGACAATTTTTTTCTTGTCTAGAATATGATTCAATTAAGTAAAAAAAATGATATATTTTACATTCATTACTTTAGGAACACGGTGACCCGCTGAGGAAATTTACAAAGCTTGCTATTTTCATCGCGTATATTGATTTCACATTAATTAACGCACTGTCCCAAAATATTAATTGAAACATGAAAAATTATTCAATTAATAATATGATTTATTAAATATAAAAAGAATTAATCATAATTTTAGTCATACAGAAAAACCATAAGTGCAAAATAATACATTGTAACTTCATAAAAATAATACTTTTTTTCAGGTTAAAAAAAATTACTCCTTTCAAATAAATAAACGCCTGTATGTTCAGGTTTAAGAAAACGATTTTAAGATAGTGTGAAAACAGCGATCTTTTAGAACTTTTTCAGAAGTTGTTCGTTGTAATTCTCAAAATAATTTAATTTATTCTATTCTATTCTATTTTTACAAAATTACATTTGAAATGTAATTTTTGGTAGAAAAATTATAAACAAACGCAATATAAATTAAACAGTCTCACTCTTAGTACACAAATTTATAGCAATCATCTTTCAAGACATTAATATATTCAATATTTTAATGTGCTGTAATTTTCCAGGAAAACAATGGCTCGTAGATATCATCAAGACTGGTATTATTTTAAATGCAACTTGGCTTCTGCCATCTGGTATGCCGATTATAAAACTTATCAAATCAATTAAATAAATATAAAAGGATCGTAGATAACGTTGTTTATTAGATGTTTACAACTACCACAAATAAAGAGTTGATATGCATAATTTCAAATCTTTTACTGGATGGGAATAGGATACAAAGTTAGGAACTACTAACAAATTTATAATATACTCAATACGCGAATATATCCAAGAAGAATCGAAGACTAGACATTGTTTTCCACGAAGGATGATACAGCCCATAGGAATTTCTCTTATAGCGTCTTGTGCATGTGAGAGCATGCGAGAATATTTGCAATAGCTCGTTGTGCAAGCTCCTTTTGTTCAAAATACACTGAGGATCAGTCATAAAATGTGTAATGTTAAAATTTATAATTATAAATAATTTAAATACACATGTATTATGTATAATATTTTAAAATTTCATTCAAATTCTATCTAATTTTTAAATAAACGGACCATCGATTATTTGTTCCTTAAATAAGTCAAGCACTGGTTTCAACCGAGCAATTTCATCATTAAGTAGTCTCTTGACATTGTGCTTCTGAGAATAACAATCCCATACGAGTGTTTAATAAAAACGTCAAATTCAAATTCACAGAAAGATAAATATGAGCTTGAATAGCGCCATTCATCAAAAGCATAAAATAATTTTTTCTAATCCATGACACTATGTTACAAAATCTATGACTAAATTTTAAGAACATTTTAACTATTTTAATAAATTATTATTGATTTTATCAAAATAAATTCTGAGATAAAAAAAGAGCATTAAAATGCAGTGCTTTGTAAAAACACTTCCCTTTCCATCATTTAAGACGTGATTGAACAAAAATGTAATAATAATAATAAAATAAATATCATTTTAGTCCGATAAAAAAATAATATAAATAAATAAATCATTTCTAAAATATTAAGAACAAAATTTAAATTGTTATGAAGTTAAATAAATTAATCAACATTTATAATTTTAAAGACAGTGGATGATAGTAAGTTATAATCACAGGGGCAGGAGAAAAAGGAAAAGCAAACTTTGGAAGAAAAAAATATACTGATGAAAGGGAAGAAGTGAATAAGCATACATGATTAAAAGAGAAAAAAACTGTCCTCGTCTAAACAAGAACAGCTCTCCACATGGCATCATTTTGTACAGTCGCGCGTGAAATCTTTACACCATAAAAAGGCTTGTATAGTCATTTTATCTCCTCTGCAGGGGCATCATCATCTCATTTAAATTCTTTGTATAAACTTAAAAGCTACAAAATGTACAGTTCTGCAGTACAAGCGACAACTTTATTTCCAATTGGCTACTACCACCCATCTCCACAGATAGGTAAACATAACCTCTTCATGAAGGAGGGAAAGAAGAAGAAGCGCACACTAGCCTCAGTTAGCTGTACAAGATTATTTTCCTAAGCCACCTAAGCAGGTTGAGGAGACTGAGCAGCAATTCTCCTTTCTGCAAGAAATTAAACCATGTATAATAACACTCCACATATCACAACTTAACAACAACTTGGCACCAAATGTCTTGGTCTTCGTGTGTGTGTATCCCGCGCATGCATTTATCATTTACGTGTATGCTTTCAGATGAAAGTGATTCTAAAGCATACACAGTGGATGCCCTAGTATAAAAGAGAACAAGCGAGAATGCAAATGAAAAATAAAACGGGAGGAGTAAGTACCTCCAGCAGCAACAAGTTTTTCTACACGTGCAACAATGTGCTTTCCGTAGGTGTACTTTTTCAATGCATTCAAATGAACCTTTATTCTTGAAAGAATCAGCTCGCGCTGTTGGTCATCACAAGTTTCCAGCACCTTTTGAACAACATAATTTGCAAATTGGTCCTTCATCATCGCCTGTATATAACACAAGTCTGATTTATCATTTTGCAAAACTTGAGAAAGATAGGTTGAGAGTGAACTAGCTAAAGCATTTATAACACTGCCAATCACAATCCTATTGAAAGAAATCTTGGGCAGGTACAAGTGATTGGAGTTCAAGACTGCGTGAAAGTTGATTGTTCTGTTCAAACGTGAAGGAGTTGTTCAATAAAAAAAGTCAGAACAGGTGTTATATGTCAAGCATATGCAATGAGATTGGAATCATGAGATCATTTGTTATCATTTATGATGGTATTGAACCTAAAAGAAGGCTTCCAATATCACCATTATCTGAGACTGGGTTTAAAAATGTACATTAGCGTTGCCTTCTAATCTGCCTCAAATAGAGAGCGGTAGCGGCATATATTAGAAAAAGTTCAACAAACCTGAAGAGGCTCATTTTCATCTGTGGAGCCAAGCATCTCATTCACTAATAATTGGCGTTCAGAAGGACCTCCAAAGGTCAAACATTTCTCCACAACATTGGAAGCAAACTTCTGTTGACTCATTTGAACTATCTTGCCAGCTAATTCCTTTATTATAGAAGAACGCTCATGAGGCTTCCCATGTTCCAGTACATGCTGTTATTAAGAAGAGAAGAAACCAAAAGCAAGAGATCAATTCATTTGTATAAATGACACACCACATGGATATTAAATCAAGTTGTAGCAAACAGTATCATGCTTATGAGGTAATGTAATATTAGGGGTAGTAGGGAACAGAAGCCCATATCATGTGTGAAAGAGAACAAACCTTGGATGGCATGTTAGAAGCTTAAAGTAAATAGGGCAGGAAGCTATAACATATAAGAACAGATTTTTAAAAACACATATTTATATGTAACAATTGTCACTGAAGCATTACACGCGATCCCAAGACATTCACAATAAATTAAGTTAAAAATCATAAACAAGAAATGTAAGTCTCTAGTTGAAAGCTTTCATGATACTAGTTACTGATAAGGATATAACGCAGTATGTAGAAGATCTGAAACCTGCAGATATGCTGTAAAGAAAATCAATATAAAGGAGAATAATCTCATTATACATTGTGACGATATATAGATACAATTAATATTTCTATTTATCAAAAATATCTTGATAGCAAGCTTGCAGTCGAGAATGGACATGCAGAAAACCATGCTCAAGGAAACAGAGAAAAACATGAGATATAAAACATAAGAACACACTTCCACTGATCATGGCAATTAGCAACACACTCAAATTATTTAGTAAGAAAAAAATTATAAACCTGAACAACGTAGTTTCCATACTGATCCTGAGCTAACATGCTAACTGCTCCTAAAATCTCATCCATAACTTTCTGCTGTGTCGTAGGGTCTTTGCAGTGCTCCAGTACTCTCTGTCATGTACAAGGTATGCTTGTAAGACAAATGATTTTAGGTACACAATAAGAGTAGTACAAGTGGCAAAGAAATCTTACCTGTATCACCCGGCAACCATATGGATGGGTTGAGAGTGACACAACTTGATCAAAAAATGTTGAGACAATAAAGTGGATTGCATCTTCAGGGACACATTCAATACACTTCTGAATGACATGATTACCATTCTGATCTCGTACACAACGCATGACATTACCATCAAGCTCTTGAACCATCTCTATCTTCTGATCCAGATCAACGACTTCAATGGCCTAGAGAGAGATACACAATTGAAAGAGCAAAAGTAAAATGATAAGATATTCAGAAAATTACAGATTCAGAGCCAAACATATAAATATCAACTACTGCCACCTTATAATCTCAATACCTTCTGGATGACTCGGCAACCATACATTTGAAGGCTAAGTGTCAAAACATGGCCAAGAAGTTTGTTGGCTAATTCTCTTCTCTGGGATGCAAGTCCATGCTCAAAAAACTACAACATATCATTATCAACTATAGCTTAAACAAGATTCTTGAAAGAGAATAATTCATTGAAAGAGTAATGATTACCTTTTGAACCACATAATTACCAAAGACATCAGTCATCAAAGCAAGGGCATGTGGCATGATTTCCTGATAAACCATGTTTTTTTCTTCTGTAGTAGCTGTTTCAAGCTTTTGTTGAATAAATCGGCTCCCATATTGATCGGCACTGCCAATGATATTAAATTAATTGAATTTATTTCTACATGGAGGCGGCATAAAAGGACCAAGCGGAAAAAAGTATACCTGAATTCAACAACATGAGTGGCAATTTCAGAGAGCTCAAAACACTTTGTTTTATTGCTTTTAAACTCTTCCAACAGAGTAGAACTTTCATCAATGTTTCCAGTATCTACATGCCAAGGTCCTATGACCCCAGCTAAATTCCTCATTCCAGATGCAAAACGCATATTCAGATCATTGTGCCTTATAGGACTTCCAGATCCAACTGGAGAAGTGGATACAACAGAGTTTGCCATTGGACTTCCTGGGTAAGATAACCCAACACCATATGCAGGATTTGCATAATAACCATGATGATTGGAGCTGCCTGATTTACCAGCCAATGGTACATTGTATTGAGATTTCTGAGGTGATAGGATCGATCCAAGATAAGCTTTCTGAAGCTCAAGTAAATTCATGTACGAATTCCCCAAGTAATTCCTGTCTATAGAGGGATCATTAAGAGCAGCAAGTTGCGCTGCGGCATAATCAGATGTCCTTAGGTACTGAAGATACATGGGATCAACAAAAGGAGCCTGAAGAGCATTGCCTGCAATTTGATTTCCCATCCTACCAAGATTATGCACATCAGACGGAGCACCAGCTCCAGAAGTCAAACCACCCCCAAGAATTCTTGAGTCCATTCCAGGGGCTGCCATTGCTGATGCTGCAGCAACATTTTCAAACAGGGGTGGCAAATTACCAGTGCTGAGTTGGTTAGTCATCAAGGATGCCAATGCTGGATTTCCAGCATACCCACTCAGACCATAGTTATTAAATGATGAATTTGTACTATCTAAAGGCTGGTACTGAGGTGGCAAACTACCTCCTCCACTAAAATGGGAGGTAGGTGATCCTTTGAAATATGAGTTACTAGAAGGAACAGTAGATTTTTGTAGCTCAACCTGCCTATCCAAGGATGGATTGTTGAGGTCTGACCCACCCCTGCTCTTACCGGAATTTTGCAAGTGTGCTGATTCAGACTTTTTTAAATATGCATGTTGCTTACCATGATCTTGACCACCTTGCCTACCAAAAAGATATCTCTGGTGATTATCAACATCTGCTTCAACCTGTGATGGCAAATGGTTTTCACCATCTAATACATCATCTGCTGACAAGTTCATCCCCGACAATGCAGCCACAATGTCTGCTGACTCATTGATGGCAGATGAAACACCATTAAATGCATCTGGACTGGCAATACCTCTCTTTTCAGTAGCAATGGCTCGCCCACCACCAATAGGTGTGACGCATGGACTAGGAGCCCTAGCAACAAGTTGCGGATCAGGAGTAGTGCTTCTTGACAAGGAAGATCCCAGTGCAGCAGCATATGAATATGAAGCTGGTGGGCCAATATTTTGGGCTGCAGATGATCCTTGAACATGCGATCCTGATCTCAAGGCATCAGTGGCTGTGGGCTCACGGCGCACATGAGCCAACTCAGCTTCAGCAGAATTCATAAGGTCATTTTCATCAAATGCATTACGACTGGATGGACGAGAAGGGAGGCCCGTGACAGAAGTATGACGCCCCAAATCATCCTGTGCAATTACTGGTCATAAATGACAAGTAGAAGAAAAAGGATACAAAAATAAAGAAATACAAGAAATAAAAATTTAAGCAAATAGATGCTAAATTCACTACAGAAATGTCAACAATTGATAGTAGGAAGTAAACTAAATATTGCTACAGAAAGCTTAAAAAATACAAAGGAAACAAATAATAATCTGAATATACCATATATAGAAAGATATAGCAAAAACACAGACTGTAAGACCAAAATCAACATGTTGTGTGCTATCACATGGTGAGATATAAAATGTGCCATATAAAATTCTTCAAAATGTGTTAGGTGCAAACAACAATCCAAAACCCAAGTAAATCAGTACACGTTCATCAAGCTTGGTTTGAGTGAGAAATTGAAACTGGTGCAGAAGCATGAACTGAATAAAGGAATGCAGCATTTACTGAATCGTGGGATAAAATTCTTAACAGAGACCAAGAGAAAGTAAGGGAAAGGCATGGAAGTTTAAGAGAAAATTTAGAGAGGAACAATCTATGCAAATTTTGATTTCTAAGATACAAAATGAACGACACACTGTATTGTGAGTACATCTCTGAATGTATGGTGAACTGTGTAGAGTAGAGTGTTGCAACTGAATCTGTTGGCTACACAGACTGACACACATGATACAACAACAGTATAGGTTATGGGATACACTAGATATGCACCACAGTATACAATATAGTATATGAATGTAGTAAATGTATTGTATGTATACTCTATTATTAAAAAACAAAATATGAATGTGGCTTAAAAGATTAAATGAGCCTAAAAGATTTTATGGTGAATGTGACAAATCAAGAAGATATAGCTTAACAATCAGTATCAATATTTCCAGCCAGTGTGAAAATAAAAGGCTATCTACTACAGGGAAATCACAAAGGATTATCAAGATAAACATGGGAAAAAAAGATCTGATGCATTCATACAATGTTTTGCTGCCATTTTCTGTCTCAACAAGCATTAGAAATAACCTTGTAGAAGCCAAAGCCACGGATTCACGTTGTCATTTAGCATTCCATTGAACAAAACTTAAAATCCCTCAAGAATTACAATGATAACTCAAAACATTAGAACAAGATCACACATCAGATCATAAAAATCAATTGACCCTATGCTTCATCTCAAAACCAATCAATTATGAAGTGCCACATATGAAATCAAAAACATAAAATGCCAAATCATGCAATATAGGAGAAAAAAAGAAACCAATCAATAGATGAAGAAGCAAGTCACCTGGAAAATTTCTGCAAAGCTCTTTTGTTTGCTCCTAAGCCCAAGTCCAGGCAAACCAATCAGTCCATCGCCACCCCAGTCAGCCGAACCTCTTGCTTTTTCATTATCCACCTCACTCTCTTGTTTCCTCATGTTAAAACCAGGCGGGGTCGAAAACAATGATCTACCACCATTATCATCAGTCCTGTTTACTTTCCTCCTATCTCCAATTCCACCCAGAACAGAAGCTCCACCTTTAAGTCTTTGTTGAAACCTCCAATCCTCCTTTGATAGCAAAGGAGGAGGAAGCCTGGGATTCAAATTCACATTGGAGTAATAGTACGAAAGATAAGCAGGATCAGACCTAAGCTCTTCTTCAGAAGCAATCCCATTCACATCTTTAGCTCCGGTAAACTCCGGAAAAGCGGCGGCAGCAGCACCGGTAGTACCACCACCACCACCACCACCAAACAGCCCTCCAACTGCACTCAAAGAACCCTCGACAGTTGGAGGCGCTGATCCACTCCTAAATATATTGAGCTCACGCTCACGATCATCAGCCTCCTGTCTACGTTGCTCACGAAGCAACATCCCTATCTCCTTCTCCAATTCATCACCAAAAGAACCCTCGTTACTCCCAAGCATCGGTCTTCTTCCCAATTCAGACAACATTTTCCAAAATCTCAATTTGATCACCACCCTCTAATCACCAACCTCATATAGTTACAACTGATCACTACCCACCACAACAAACCAAACCCTAATCCGAAAAACAACCCAAAAATTCAAACTTTTCACATCACAGAGCCTAAACGGCCATACCCCATATTAGCAACTTCAGAAAATTCTAACTTGCAGTTACTGGAAAAAGAAAAAAAATTAAGCTTTCCTCGTAAAAACTGCACCGAAGTCACTTCAAGAGCTGAAACAAAAACCACCCCAACAATCAAACAAAAAAAAGATTGCGAAATTCACTTTTAAGTTTCCCAGAGTTGGTTCCCATAATTATTGACAAGAAATTCCTAGGACATGCTTTCCCATACGATGATATTTATATACAAGAACAAAATTAACGTTGGAAAGTACAAGAAGGGAAGAGAAAACAGTGAGCTGAGAAATGGTTCACTGAGATCAAAAAAGGAAACAGTGAGAGAGTGATCAATCCGGCGGCGATTGGTTCTTACAAGAACCCTTAGGGTTTTGTTCCATCTCGAGGTGGATTAAATACAGACGATGATAGCAAGCAAACCCAAAACCAAAAATTTGGGTTTGGGTTTATTTTTTGTTTTTAAGTTTCCATTTATTTCTTGAATCTCGGAAATATCCAGAATATTTTATGTATTTCCTAAACATTAGGGGTAATTGACCAAGTGATAACCGACTCATGCCATTGCCAAAGAGAGAGAGATGGTGTTTATTTTCTTTTGCCCTCGTGTTCCAAAACAAGAAGCTGTCACCGACTGACACGTCCGTTTATTAGATTCGCTTGATGAGTAAAACAGGCCAAAAGGACAGTAAATTTCGCACCAGTTACCACTCTCCCTTCGGTTCAGTTCTGTTCTGTTGTGTTATGAATCTCATGATTTTTACTTTTCACATTATATGTTCTTAGTTTTTGTTACCTCCCTTTTTTACTATTACTACTCATTATTACTAATACTGGGCATGCCAGATTTGTGCCTCTCATATATTTCCCAAAATTCACATGCTTCTTTTCTTCCATTTTTATTTTTACATGTTCAATATATTTAATACTTTATTTTTAATAAAATCTTGCTATTATAAATTATTTAAACTCAATTTAAAAATTGATGAAAATTTTTAATAAAAAAATGTATTTGAAACTTTTAGTGAGTGTTCGCATAATACTTAATAAGGTTACCTTCTTTTCCTTGTTTCGACATTGATTTGTAATAGATCAATTCATATATTTAAAATTCATAAATTCAATGCTAGCGAAAGCAATCAATTTATTGACTCGCAAGGATCTAACCTCTAATTAATTGGGTAACTGCAACCGGCTGACCTTTTATTAACGTAGTTAGAGTCATAAATGGGGTCACCTGCAAAGAAGGGGAAAAAATGCCATAAATTCGTAATGTAAAGAATAAAAGTCCGCATATAGAACAAACGGTGAATCAGTGCGGTACGTTAGTAAATGAGGACTTATCTTCTTTTGTTCTGGTTTTAACAGTACGGAAGCAGTGTGGAATCACCCCTGCCAATCATGTAACAGGTTAGCTACATCAAGTCACCAACTCCTAATGAAAATTAATGAGAAAAATCATCAATTACAATGTCCCTTGATTTATTTTCATGCTGCATGGTTAAGAATAGATAGAAGCATTAGCGTTGATTGAAAATTTGTATGTGATGTGTATGCCATAAATATGTTTAAAGATCAGGATGTATAATCCTCAATAATGTATGAGGTGAATAAGCTAGGTCAGACAATAGCAACCCATTTTATTCCTTAAAATTTATACTAGTCTCAATTTAAAATTAATGGATTTTACTTATATTGAACTTTTTAATCATTTTTAATTAATAATTAAAATTGTATTATAAGAAACACATTAAAAATGGGTTTATAGTATTTTCTTAAGGTGGAGATATTTTTTTATAGAATAAAGAGATATGCATTAATAATTAAAAATTATTATAAATAATCAAAATTAAGATGTAAAAATTATATTATTTTAAATAATTACGTGATATTTTATCCAATAATAACTCTTTTTCCATCAAAACTACTTATAAGTTAATTTTCCAAATTATTATTTTTTTTATCCCCTGGTGTGTTTATACCTGTTTGAAAATGTAAAGATTCTCTCAAAGTGGCTTTTTTCCTTTGAAAAATATCTCATGATCTCATGGTCAATTGCTTACTAATGCAAAAAGAGATAGGAAAGGATGACTACTTTAGCTACTTGGGTTGGATGTGGGAATAGAGAGGAATCTATAATATATGTTTCGTGTGACTATTTTTATGCTGATTTTTCCCTGCTAGTTTGTCTTACTGGATTTACAAAAATCTATTTAACCCTTATTTGAGTAAATTTTCTAATTGGTAGCAACTCTTTAGTTTTATTACTTGGCATTTATGGAAAGCTAGGAATGCTTTTATCTTTCAAAATTGTTTTGTTCTTATCTTTACTTTGATTTGATAGATAGTTTATGATACCGATTACTGAGTATACTAAATTTTATTGCAGGAACATACACTTCTCCCTTTCCAGAATAACCATGGACCAAGCTAGGATCTGATGGGTCCTTCCTCCAAGGGGTTAGCTTAAATTAAACACAAATGAGGCTATGTGTCTTAATCTTCATGTTGCTGCCTATGGTGGTCTTCTCAGAGATTGAAAGGGAAACTTTGTGGTTAGTTTCCATATATCCCTACTTCCTTACACTTGATGTGACATATTTTAAGTTTATATTTATAATTTTATTTTGATTAGTAAACAATTTTCATATGTTTTATTTTTATATTTTTTTACTATTTTCTACTTATTTGAATACATTGGGCCTATTACAAATAAATGTTTTTATTTCATATTTTTTGTTATTCTGACCTCTAACTACTATTTTGGCCATAAATTTTTCTACACATATCATTTTTGGCTTATTTTAGTTGCATTGGATTCTACACATTCAGAGCTTCAAAATGCATATATGAATCACTTGATTTAGAGTTGTTTTCGATTTTTTTATGATTTTTTGAAGTTAAGGCAAATTTGTTGAATATTTTTGCAAGATTACATTTGGACCCTTGTTATTTAATAATTGTATTTGAGCTTTTACATATTACTAAGGCCCAAATTTTGGCCACTTAATTTACCCTAATTAAAATTTATAAATAGACTACTAAGATTTTGAATTAGGGTATGATGATGCAATTAGACATTTTAAAATTTTGAGACTTGGCCGAAATAAAAATAATTGTTTTTACTTTCTCTCAACCTCTCGTTCAATCTGCAGAATCTAAACGTCGTAATTCCAACTTGAGTTTTGCGCTAAATTGCTCTGAGTTTGTTCTCTTTTCTCTCTAATCTCTGAATTGTGTATTGCGATCGTAATTGACTTTTTTGTTGTTAGAATTCAAGTTAGAACTCAATTGATACTTTGACTTGATAATTAATGCGAATTAGGTTAAATGATTATTTGATTTAATTCGTAACTCTATTCAATCAAGTTATTCGATTGAATTAATAATTAAATTGGGAGCTTGTTCAAACGCGAATTTAAATCTTTAGATATTGTGATAGCCGGAGTTACACGCAGTTAATATTTTGTGGATTGGTTTTTTTAAATTTAATTTTACTCACTTTAATTCTATCCGTAATTTAATTTGATTAATTTGTAATTTTTAAAATTTCAAAAACTTTATTTGCAATTTTTAAAAGAAAACCTAAAATTGAATTTGACTGAGAATGTGTCTTTGTGAATCGACTTAGGTTTGGCTCTATATTATAAAATCTTTAGAAAACTTAGTTGTTTTGCTAGCGACTCGGCATCACCTATCAATACTCCCCTTGAAGTTGAGTTCTGGGGAATTTATTATGGCATCCAATTATTCCTACAACAAGCTGACCAGAACTCCTGTTGGTAGGCATGGAAACATGTCAAGCCAGACCTCACTCTAAATATGCCAAGCCCATAGCATAATTATTGGACCTAAACTTAGCTTGTTACTTGTTAAAGACTTTATTTTCAACCTATCTTGGCCTGTTTGGGTGGCCTGACTTGGCCTGAAACTTGTTAATAAAGCTAGCTGCAAAAAATATCTTAATAGGTCATCAAGCTTAGGTCAGCAAACACATAATAAGCAAGCCATAAATTGGTCTTTGAATACTAATTTTTGAATGATAATAATAATAATAATAATAATAATAATAATATTATATATATATATATATATATATGTGTGTGTGTGTGTGTGTATGTGTGTGTGTGTGTGTAAAAAAGTCAGTCTATCAAGTTTAACAAACTTTGTAAACAGCTCAGACCTAACCTATTTACTTAAACAGACCTTAAAAAAAATCTAAGCCTTGTTTATTTATTAAAGAGGTCAAGTCAAGCTAGGCCACAGACTCTTATCAGGCCAGGCTGTAGGCTCCTATCAGACCGCTTGATTTGTTTTCATCCATACTTATTAGATTGAAATTGACTGTCATGAATCCCTGCACAACATCCAACGAGTTCAAAGCACTCATCATCCTTTATTTTATGTTATATGTTAGATTAAGGACAATATTTTTAAGGAAGTCAACCATTATGCTGACAAGTTGGCAAAAGTTGGTCTTGATTTCCTTTCCCCTTTAGCTAGCTTTGTTGAAGCTTTTTGTGATTTGCTCCCTTTCTTATGCTTCGATTGGTGTGGTATCTGGACCCTTAGATCCACTCCTTAGTTTGATTTATTGTTTGGACTCTTAGTCCCTATTATTAGCAAACAACAACAACAATAATAATAATAACGTGATATCAAATATTTTTAAATTTTAAATTACTTATATATAATATATAATTTTTTATATCTAAATTTGTGATCTTAAGTTTAAGTTATAGTAAATAAAATTATTTTAAATACCTTAAAAGATAACTTTGTCACTCATAATAATTATGCTCATACTTAACTCAAACATTACTACCTTCAAATGATATATGTGGTCTAAACAAAAAAATACAATTAATTTTTGTCTCACTATCATATAAAACATGTTACTTTTACTTAAACTATTTCAACTACTAGTATTTATGATAAATTTATGATCAACACTTAAAATTTTATAAATATTATTATTTAGTGTTTTACATAATTTTAAAATTTAAATTATAATTAGTTGATCATTATTATTTCTAAATTGTATTTAAGAAAAATTTATTAGAATTAATCATGTATACAAATTTTTAGTTAATGACTATACAATGTTAAAAACAAAAAAAAAAACAAAAATAGTTATTTGATTGCAAATAACTTTTAATAAAAAATTATTAAAATTATCTTTATAAATTTTTTAATTTATTTAATATATTATTAAAATATATCTAAAATAAAAAAAATAATAAAGACATATTAATTTTTGTATTTTTTTATTAAAATCTTATTATTTTAAGAAATTATAGTTATATTTTATTTTATATATTAATATATATTAACTAAATTTTTATTATTTTATTTTAAATTTTTTATACATTATAAAAATAATTTCAATATAAAAAAACAAAGATAAATTATTGCAATTAAAAATAGTTATTTCATATTGCAATTTTATATTTTATGGTATTTTTTAAGAATAAAAAATAATAGCCACGCTGAAAAGTTTCATATAGGCCACAAGTCTATTGTAGGTAGAACATAATATAATACCAAAAAC